TTTTGCCTTCATTGACCAGACTACTCATAACCTTCCTCTTCTTTACAACATATTGTTCAATCCCAAGTCCCCGCGCTAACCTAAGGAAAGTTTTAATTTCCTTCATAATTCTAACACGTTATGTTTAAGATCATCAGAAAATCTTGCTTTTAGGACTCCCGTACACAGCACAACTTTTTTCTACCGTTCGTTTGCAGTGCAAGCCGTTCATCTATGGAATTCTCTTCCGGTTTCGATAAGACGTGCGGAAACTATTTATGCATTTCAAAACCTTGTGAACTCCCTCTATCTTACATTGTAATGCTTTTGCTTTTAATATCTCATGTGCTTTCTAAAAATTGGACTGGATCAATGTATCTCTATTTATACTTATTGTATATTATATATTACTAGTTGCCCGCCCTCGCTTCGCTTCGGTGTAGAGCTGTAGTGTAGTAGACTATAGTTTTTGTTCTCAGGCTTGTATCATACACATTGACATTCTTCTAATACCTAATTACAATAGGCACGCGCCGCCAGGCCCCCCGCCCGCGCCCGGTGGCGTCGGAAACGCTATGTCCCTGCAATTTTAATCTGTAATATCTTAGAAAAAAATATTTAAATGACATGCTTTAAAGGGCCACCTTGATCTATAATAAATGCTCAATGTATTTGAGGTACTTAATTGGATAAGGATGAATGTTATGTTATAGTTATAGTAAATAAGCTATTATTTATCGTAAAAAGTACAGGATAAAAAATGGTTATTGTGGGTTATCCCTAAGAGATAGACATATACCATCGCATACTTTTTTGTAGACCTTTTTAAGGTGCACAATACTGTAGTACATTATTTTGATTTATCTCGTAGGGTTCAGCCAGCGTTTGCAATGTAAGCGCAAAAAATGTGTTTATTTACGACCTTACATTAAAAACCTCTAAAATTATCAGTTTTTCTCTACTATATTATTCATGTGTTATACATATAAACCTTCCTCTTGAATCACTCTATCTATTTAAAAAAAAACCGCATCAAAATCCGTTGCGTAGTTTTAAAGATCGAAGCATACACAGACCGACAGCGGGAAGCGACTTTATTACTATGTAGTGATATATATGTATGTATGGTTACACTAATAGATTAAATTAAACTTGACATTAGTGTCCTATTCATTCCTTATAATTTAAAGCATGATTAGGAGATACTGTTGTCAAGTTTACAAATAGCAAATACAAATAGCCAAGTGAAGTGTCGGCATAAACAGCAAGCTTCAAGTTTTATCAGTAAGATATATTATCGTTAGGAATGTATAATTTATTTACAGATTTTTTGCTTTAGAAACTAATAAATCAAATTATTTATAATTACCTAAACATTGGTGTCAATTCTGGCATCATTCTCTAAACTTAAAACTAAATTTAATATCAGTCTGTCCTTTTATTTTATATAGAGAATGACAAGGATACACTGTTGTCAAATTTAAGTTTAGCTTTAGAGAATCATGCCAGAATCGACACCAATGTATGCATTATATATTAAAAATTGGCAAAAAGTTCAAAAAAGTTCATGTTGCTTTGAGTATATATGTACCTATACCAAACCAAGCTCCCGATCTTCCACCAGTAGGCGGGAGCAATCAATAGCTCTTTTTGCACAATTGATCGCCAAAACATGAATTCTTTAGAAATAAATCACTTGCTTCATAAGGGCTCTCCATTAATCATGTGAAGCTCGAAAGGGGGGGGGGGGGGATATAAACAAAGATTAAGTTACTGGTTATAAATAAAATACTGTGCTTTAATTTCCAGAATTATACGATTGGTTCAGTGAGTATGCCAGGCGTAGGGAGGGACATGTCTCTCCCACAACCCCGTGAATCTCCAAGAGGTTTTAATACGCGAGCTTTGATCAAGCGAGCGAGCCATTAGGTAGACTAAATACTTCATTAATGCCACACTTTTGAAATGAACGAGAAATGAATAAGGTAATAATAATATATACAAGAATATTGACACATATATGTCAGGTTACTGTCTGTATTAATACGAGTTTGCAAGGCAAATTAGTTTGATAAATCTTAACCATCTTGTATGAATTAGGTAAATACTCAACCATGTACTTTAATTTATTTAATGTATACTTTCTTCTACTTTTCTTTTGTCAGGGTGAAGCCAAACGAGCGTAGTCGAGTCGAGTTGAGTTGTGAGTCGCGTAATTTCGGTCGCGTAAATTAAGCTTCATTCGGTCGAAAGCGTCCGTCAGATACAGGATTGCGTGAGATGAGAGTTGAAAAGGCAAATACCAATTTAACGGTGTAGACAATGTTTTTAAAGCTTAAAATATTACATGACACTGTTCAAAACTTACTTACCTCTTTCCTCTGGACTGATGGGAAGTCTCCTGTCGGTTTGATTTAGTAATAAAAGGTTTTACAGTCTGACCACGATAAGTCTATACTGGCAAAAAATAAAACTTCCTTTCGCAAAACTGATGCATGCGTAATATAGTAAAATAAGACTCTTCACTCTCATTTTTCTTCTACTCTACTTCACTCATGTAGTTTGAGCACTTTGGTACACTAATAGAGGTGATGACGGGGTACAGAAAACGAAATTCTATTTAGTCAGTCAGTTAGATGATGAAAAAATAATTTACACGTATTTTTCTTTGGGCAATCAACCAAAAAATGACAAAGTTATAGCGCGTCAAAGTTTAGGAGAAGGGGCTCGTGACGTCACTTTTAAGTGAAAATTGTACCAAAACTGTGACTTTTCAAATCAATATAATTATCTCTACAATGTTTATATTAAGTGAAAAAAGAAAAAATATGTGTCCAATACTTTTTGATAATCTACCTGATAAACGAAGAAAAAAAAATTAGTCATCATCCCTATTATTACATTTATGTACATTTATTGTTACATTTATTATTTTGCAATTTTTGTATCCTACTTGCATGCTATGCTTATATTGTGTAGAATCCGATACAAATATCTTTATATTGATAAAAAATTTTTTGACAGCTCAATAAACTAGTCGCGGCCCGGGTTTCGATTGTTTAACCGCATACATAGAAGTTTATGTTGTATAAAACCTGTTCTTGATGATCGAATAATTAAACAACTATTTATTCGTCTGCATTGTGTTCTCCCCATGCGTCAATATACAATTACCATGTTAAATCGTCAAGGTTAATTAAAATCGATTAGAAACCTTATATGGGAGTAGTACAACACACAATTTTATTTCGCAAGTTTAGTGCCTAGGTGCTATTATTATCAGATTTTGGAGCATGTATGTATAGTCGGGATAATAGTATACTTAAATAAGAAATGGCTAATGTATTCTAATCTCCAACCGAGGATTTTTATTAATAGCAGAACCTCCTTAATCAATCTTCACTCAAATTTCAATATTCGTCAAGTATGCCACAATTTCACAATCGAAGCAATGTTTTCTTTGCGGTAGTAGCAGAAACCTTCAAAACGATCGGTTCATTGTTCAGAATGTTTAATGTTAATAATAATAGTAAAACCCAAAAGAAATTTACTACGTAGTATGTGCAACAGTAAAGAATATCACTATTTGGCTGCTGCAGTTCTCTATAAAGTTACTTTCCCAGACAGACGCTTCGCTCCTCTTTTCATACCAAACATTGGAATTTCTTTGAATACGTACGTTAGGCAATAATGGTTTGATGTTGATATTAAATATTGGGAATAAAATATTTATTCATTTATAAAATAACGAGTAGGGGGCCGTTCATTAGTCACGTGATGTTTTTGGTGATACGTGGTGTGGTTTAAGACCCCCTCCCCCCGCGGGGGGGGGGGAGTCCCCCTGCCCCTATGTCACGTGTATTTTTACATAAAAATAATGAAAGAAATGCGAAAAACTTTTGTGTACTAATACATGAACATTATATTATAATGTACAGTATCCTCGGACGGACTACGGAAATACACGTGATATGTTCCCCCCCCCCCCCCCCCCCCCCTTGTGATATTTCGTGATTTTTATGGACTACGCTCGTTTGGCTTCACCCTGACAAAAGAAAAGTAGAAGAAAGTACACATTAAATAAATTAAAGTATATGGTTGAGTATTTACCTAATTCATACAAGATGGTTAAGATTTATTACTTAAACTAATTTGCCTTGCAAACTCGTATTAATACAGACAGTATCCTGACATATATGTGTCAATATTCTTGTATATATTATTATTACCTTATTCATTTCTCGTTCATTTCAAAAGTGTGGCATTAATGAAGTATTTAGTCTATCTAATGGCTCGCTCGCTTGATCAAAGCTCGCGTATTAAAACCTCTTGGAGATTCACGGGGTTGTGGGAGAGACATGTCCCTTCCTACGCCTGGCATACTCACTGAACCAATCGTATAATTCTGGAAATTAAAGCACAGTATTTTATTTATAACCAGTAACTTAATCTTTGTTTATAGCCACTATTGTCAATTTTTAGGAACAGTTTTATTAAATATAAATTAAATTTGTAGTTTGCACAGATTTCTCAAACGCTAGGCTAGACGCAACCTTCGGCAAGCATACCCACCAAGCTCTGTCTACAGTTTTTTAACAGCACTATTTATTTCCTTTGGTCACTTTATTCTAACACTATTTCATAACAATTTTGTCATTCTGGAAATACCATAATTCTAGTAGGAACATAGATGCGCTTGCAGACTAAGGCCCGTATTATAGAAAGATTCTCAGTAATGAATCTAGTCTTGAGCATAGATAGAAAGGGATGTCGCTATATATAGCACATAGCGACATCCCTTTCTAACTGTACTCAAGTAAAAATCAACACTTAGTTGTCATTCTGTAATACGGCCCTAAGTTATACAAAAACAACTTGTACCGTGCGTGATAAGTGTGGGATTGTGATTGTGACTCACTTAGCTAGGGCCGGGGCTGCTGGGAGGAACCGTTGTAATGTGGAAAGCACTAGCCTTATTTACGTTATCCGTATGTGTTTAACATTGTGTGCGTTTGTTCAAGGTATCTGCGGCGCAGCATATGCAAGTGAGCGGCGCGGGCAGCGGGCACGTGTCGGTGGCAGCTCAGCAAGGCATGTACGCCAACTTCCAACATCAGGGTACTCCATCACCGCAACATCATCAAAGTATGTTTCATGGTTACTTGTTTACGTTATCCCTTAGTTATCTCGAAACTCTAAACGTATACAAGAGGCAGCACCGCAGCACATAGAAGTAAAAAATCATTTTACTCCTAAGTACCTTTTACTTTTTTATGCAATAACTATTTTTACGTAAGCAGCAATCGATACTCTTAATGTAGGTGAAACAACAGCCGGGACTAATTTCGGCAGGGATGCCCATCAAACCGGGACCCATGTCTAAAAACCAACTCACCTCAGTTTTACTGACCTAATATGTTCTGCTTATGATTGGCTTTACTGTGATATCTTTAAAACCCATCAGCTCGGGTTTAACCGACCAAAATATATTCAGCTTGATTGTATTTACCGTGACATGTTGAGTTTCTTTATGTTATGGTATGTGTATGGTAAATGCTTTGTAGATTTCACTTTTATCTGCTAAGTATATAATTTTTAAAGCATTTGGAGGCCCGGCAAAGTTTACTTTTACCTGTCAATGTTTTTGATAAATGTCCAAATCTATAGATCTACACATTTTCCTGTTTATATTATGTTAAATAATTATAATATGACGATGGCACCAAAAAATATTTACTTGAATCTAGGAAGTTACTACATAGGATAGTGTATAATAAACAGGAATGTCATACATAGTTAGATTTGTGATAAAGATTGAAAGAGCGAGAATTATGGGCAAAAAATGGTAAATTACATTTTTTCCGGCTCAGATTACAGAACGAAAGTCAGATGGAGCGCACGGTACACGCAATGCGTACCACCAAAACAAATACGAAGTCAAAAGTAAATGCTTTTTTGTCTTTGTGAACAGTTTTTACGATGTTTGGACAAGACGGCACAGTTTTGATAAAAACTTAATATTCACGAGACATTTTCACAACACGATACGTTGTGGTGTACTGACGCGAATTGATAGTCGCTCTTAACCTCGTATTTGCTATGATGCCACGCATTGCGTGTTCCGTGCGCTCAATCTGCCTCTTGTTCTGTAATCTGAAGTTGAAGGTCTTGATTCAATAAGCACGGAGGAAAGATCTCCTTCCTTATAGTTCTCTCTTTATATTGAGTTTATCGTTTTTAGATGATGAAGTTGACCATGCTTGAAATAATATTGACGTCGACGACGCGATTACTAATCCTTGTATGTACTGTAAGTGTACGTATGTATGTATACCTATACGCGTCACCCGCGAAAGTACGCTACACTCATTATCGCGATCACAAACACATGCATCGCCGCATTACGACGACGAAATACTAAACTGATGATTCAATATCGGACCGGGAATGTTTTCAATACCGTATCAACAAATTGGAAATACACTAGGCACTCGTGTACCTACACAGATTTAAATGTTCTTAAAATGAACTGACGCGATATTAGTAAGGTACTTAGTTTATTAATCATTTAAGACTGCAGCCAATAACACTGTTTAGACGTCATGTGCATTAGTACAGTCAATCTGTAGGTTGAGTGGTGAAAAAAAAACCTAAAGGTAAGTCTTGTTTTTTCTGTTGCCAAATGACGTCAGTATGCCACCTTGGCGATGGGCATGTTCAACTCGTAGGCGTTTTTTGAAAATCTCAAAAAAACCGTCAAAATTTTTTTAAAACGCATTTTTCTTGTTTTTATGCATTTTAGAAACTTTTTTTTCGACCATAATTGTAGAAGGCGTTGAGTACTACAATTTATGTATGTCATTGTTGCAATCCCGTACAACAAAAAATGCGCAATGTAGGTGGCGCTAAAGTCTCAAAAAAAGTGTTTTTTCACTTTTTCACCCTGAAAATATTATTTTAATGGAAAACTTTAAATGGCAAAGTTGTTTCGTACATAATTACCAACAACTTTTGTATAAACAATTTTTTTGTATTACTTACCGTTTTCAAGTTATAAATTGCGCAGGTATGAAAAATCCAATAGAGCGGTTTTGGGCAGTTCAAGTACACATTTGCAGTGCACATTTCAATGTACGTTTTTACTATTTTTTTTTCAATCATGAAAAAAAATAAAAAATAATTTGTACAAAAGTTGTTGGTAATTATGTACGAAACAACTTTGCCATTTAAAGTTTTCCGTCAAAATGATATTTTCAGGGTGAAAAAGTGAAAAAACCCTTTTTTTGAGACTAGCGCCACCTACAATGCGCATTTTTTGTTGTATGAGATTGCAACAATGACATAAATTGTAGCACTCAACGCCCTCTACAATTATGGTCGAAAAAAAAAGTTTCTAAAATGCATACAAAACAAGAAAAATGCGTTTCAAAAAATTTTTGACGGTTTCTTTAGTTTTTCAAAAAAACGCCTACGAGTTGAACATGCCCATCGCCAAGGTGGCTTACTGACGTCATTTGGCAACAGAAAAAACTCTTTAGGTTTTTTTTTCACTGAAACGATATTTTTTTCGACAGATTGACTGTACTACATCGGTAGTGTGTAGATTGCCAAAGCTGCACGAGGTACAGAGAGGTAAAGAAGCTGGCTGGGGCCGAACTGAATTCCATTCGAAATGTGGAAACAAGTAATTATTTTAGTCTTCTTTACTATAAAGAACTTTCACTAAGAAGTATCACTTTCAATGGGTTTATTTAAAAAATATATGAATGGTCTCAGCATGGATGGACCTATCATCGGTTCAAGGTATCCGTAATATAGCCAGCATAGCAACATAGTCGTCGGTATGTAGTTACTATGTAATGTGAAGGGACGGGGAAGGCAAGGAAGGGGGGTGGGGCACGGACGACGATCGGCTAGAATGCGCCAAGTCGTGTGCCCCATCCCATCCCCGACATTTGATGCCTGTGGTTGCTTATTTAGACCTGCAGGCATTATTGTACCTACTCCATATTGAATCGAAACGATCTGTGTTGGATTTAAATGATTATATTTGCAACGTTAATATAGCGCGTCGAAAGTGTTGTAAATTGATCTTGTCAATCTTGTAATTTTCTGTTTTAATAAAATCTTTTTATACACCAGGAGGCGTATAAAAAGTACAGCTGGAGCTCGTATAGCTTGGGCTTTAATAACATACTTTAAATTGAGGATTATGTCCTCCGGAAAGGTAATAAATAATGACATCTAAATTTGGAACGCAAAAATTTCAACAAAATCTTGTAGCAAACCAGCTAGTTTTCGAAAAATAAGGCTGTTCAAGGAATAACTTCCTTGGTCACAGGAGTTTTTAATAACTATAAAATTCATCCTCCTAAGTAACCTCATGTTCCGGAGTATTTCGAAATATTCAAAAGGGACACCTATTTTATATTCATATTTACGCAATACAACAGTATACTGGTACTTTTCCAAATGCTATATTTATGTTGCAACAGAAATACCTACAAATAAAACAAAAAACATGATTCGAAAACTCCCATTCTGAAGCAAAAAGGGCAAATTGTTCAGCAGGGTCTATTAATAATTATTTATAAGTACAATTTAACTCTCCCATGAAACATCTGCCCTTCACCTACCTATTTTCCCATACATTTTTACTCAATTCCAACTGTTAGTGTAGTTAGGTACTCCATATTATTAGAATGTCGAATTATAAAAATAGGTACCTCCTATTTTTATAATTCGACATTCTAATAATATGGAGTGCTGTAACCCTGCAGCTATTGATAAGAATTTCCGATTATTATCCTTATTAGTTACATGATATTTGCGCTCAACTGTTCATAAAATTATTATTATTTAATTATATTAAAATATCTCTTTTAGATAATAAATGATTTTTATATACGTATGGGAAACGCACGTTACGTACCTATTGCGGCGAGTATAAGAGCTGCTGTTGAGTGTCGACGCTCGCAGCGACATGAACATAATTTAGTCTAATGGTCAGAGAGATAAAGACAAGATCTCAAGTTTTCATACTACAGAAATAATAAAAAGAAAACGGATCAACTGCGAGTCAGACTCGCGCGAGTACCATTATCTATACAACATTAGACTATCTATGTTATAGTATCGAGTTAAAAATGACTCAAATAATTACAAAGGAGATTGCTCAGCTTCCATACATGTTTGGCCTAAAGACCAATAATCATGAAAAATTGTTTCCTAGATTCGAAATTATATATAAATTACTGTAGAAACGAATATTATTGACGGACACCCCTGAGAACTTCTATAAACCATATACACTGAACAATTTTGAGGTTATGTTTGCAAATAGGTAAATAGGTATTAAAATAATAAAAAACAAGTAAGTTTTATAGTAAACTAGGGAAATCAAGTCAAGTACCGAAATTATGTATTAGATTCAGGTATATAAAGCATGTAGATTAACAAATATTTGCCTGTTTTTAAAGTTAATGCACAAGAGTAACTTTTTAAATCAGGTATTATCTGTGCATTTCCGGTTATAATAAGGAAGGTACTCTGTGACAGAAACTGTGTGATGATTGTAAATGAGCCACAGATTAGAGAGATTTTTTAAACTCTCGTTAACCAAAGAAAGCTAACCTAAATCTCTTAAGGTTATACAGCCGTATCTTCAGTAGCTTCATTATTTTTGTTATGTTTATATTAAAACCATATTTGTTATGTTTATATTATAACCATATTAAAATAATTACCGGATACTTGGCGTCACTTGATTATAGTAGTACTGAGGATTTGTTGAAGGATTAGAAGGTAAAATTTGAGTATGCATATGTTATAATATTTATTTAATATTTTATACATAATATAAATTTACATGTAGTTCTATGACCTAATATTATATAAATTATTAATTTTGGTATTGATGTGTATTAGTATCTTTATAATATTTATCTTTTTACTTTACGTATACTGTACAGTATTAGCATTTCGCAGTTTTATCACGACCTGTCGTAAGTTGTAAAATGATATGAATCTACCCTATTTTGTTTACTCGACGATGATCCTACTCTGCCGCAATACAGTTTTGTTACTAAAGCGGAGGGTAGCTGTCAGTCTTTGATGTTGTTACGCATACCTTAATATAAACTTGATGTAAATATTCTAACACTGTTTAACAACTGTTTGTATTTTCTGATGGTGAATAAATGTTATTATTATTATCATTATTATTATATTTAAGATTTTTTAGTGTATCACACCTTATAATGTGTTTATGGAGGTGTTTGGCGAAAAATGTATCGCAATAGACTTTATGATGTCGCCTACCATCTATAATAATTGTCTTAGCACATTTGCATGTAATGAAAATGATAATATAGGCATTGTTAGATGATGCGGTAACACTCGAATATTTCTTTTTGACAGCAATGTCCATTTCTTTGAGTAGGCAAGACCTCATCTTTTTTATTTAATACGTAGCATGAGAACTCAATCTAACCAAACCAATGTGGCGTTGACTGATTTACTTTTCTACGTGGCGTAATGCGTGGCAGTCATTGACAATGCGTGGAGATGGCAGCCATTCGCACAGATTTGTGATGATAGGAACCGTACAAGTCTGCGTTCAGAACGTTAAGTTTTGACATAAGTCCTTCCTTATGACAGTGTAAATTAAATACATAACTTCGGGTACATGGTTTATTTACATTATATATTTAAACTATATATAAATTACGACGACTAATTATAATTATTAATCAATTTAATTTATTTTAGTTATTACGTTATATTTTTGAAGGTTCTTAGTTTAAGGTTCATTTATAAATTGTGAAGATATAGATAAATACCGAAAACTGACAAGTCTATTTTAAAATTAAAGATTTGTATTATAATTTTCTTTATATTAATATATATTATATACGTACTGTATGGTGATGTGGGTTTTTTTCTTATTGTTCTGTTTTTAGTGTTTACGTTTTTGAATGTTTTACAATCCATTAAAGCCACCTTGCACAGGTCCTGCCAGAATAACAGCGCCGACATGGTGAGAGAAGTTTTTTTTATTTTCTCACTATGTTAGCTTATGCTGAGGCAGGGTCCTGGTTGGCCGTCTATAGATTAAGTTATATTTTTGTCATTTACTATGTTTATGATGGCCAATAAATAATTTTTCATTGCATAATATAGTTGTAGATATTAATACCACAGTAATAAAAAAAATGTTTTATTTTATCGACCTTTAGAAAATAGATTTGATTTTATGTTATATAAACAACTTCGATAAGTCTTTGGCTGAATGTTACTACTACATCCATAGCCATTAAAAATGATTCGTATGTTTTTCAAACAGGTAAAATTAAAAGTCGTTTTTAAAATGAATATTTTAAACAAAAGTTGTCCGTTAAAATCTAAGGACTGTAAAATAAAGTATAAATTACGCCAAGAATTACCGTATATGTCAATATTTTTTGTGCATTTGGGCCAATATGAGCAATCCCCTTTGATTGGGGTTATTTAATAATAAGTCCGGCCTCGGGTTTTAGCCGCCTAAGTAACTAGAACGTTATACCATCCATCAGAATGAAATGAATAAGTATTCTTTCTGAGCACATTTTTTTTCTAAGTTTTATTTTGCATTGTATAACAGTAAAAATTAGGTTCAACAGTAAAAATCATTATAATTTGCCCACAGGCAATGGGTGCGATTCGTATTCAGTGTCGCAGTCGCAGAGCATAAACTTCTCGCAAGCGATGCGGTCCCGGCAGACCGGGGCGGCGCCGCAACAGCCAGCGCAGGGAGCGGGCTCCCAGCCGCTAGGTGAGTTTTACCAATAAACCATCTCATCGCGCACACCACTACCAGAATTCATTATCTACATCAGAGATAAAGCTTCATACAGTGCACGTCACACACGTGTTATGATATTAAAAAAAAATATCATTTACATTTTTCTCTTTAAATAAAGAGAAAAGTGCCGGAAGATTTAGAGAAAATTATAAAAATTTGATCAGAATGCATCCGGTGGCATATCGACGACGTTCAACCGAGACTAGTTTTACTTTAAGACTGAGTACGGGTCCGATTGATAGGACGGTGTAATAATTGCTACCCTAGCTAGGAGAGACGCCCACCCTTTCGATAGGGTCCTTTAAAGTGGGCAGTGTAATTGTAGGTACTGTTTATGTTTGCAACTACCATGTGTGAGCCTTTCGCCGCCAATAGAAACGTTTCTTAGAGTACGCGACCCACTCGCCATTGTATGAAGCCTTTTCCCTGTTCCTTTTTTAGTCACGTGGTAACAGTTAATTACAAGAACTTGGATTAAAACGCTATTTTGATCCTTGTAAACAGAGAACAACCTTACTGTTTTGGATGAATGTGGTAAAAATTTTATTATATTTCGACATCCCTTTGTTATCATTCTTCTATTCATCGTGCGTGTCATTGTTATCAGGGGTAGCAGCTGCGGGTTTATCGCGCGAGCAGCAAGCCAAGATGTTGCAGCAGCAGCAGCAGCACATGTTGCGTGCTCAGCAACAGCAGCAACAGCAGATGAGGCCGCCGCCACCGGAATACAAGGCCCGATTCGTGGGTCCGGGAGCTGGAGCTCAGGGGGTTGGGGGGGTAGGCGGGCCAGGCGGGGTAGGATCTGGCCCCAGAAGGCCGCAGCCGGCCCGGGGTGGGCCATTCCCGCCCCACGCGCGCCAGTATTCGCCTGAATGGCGCCATGTGTTGCTGCAGCAGCAGGCGGCGAGGCAGCAGTTTCCGCATCACCATCAAGGTATTGTAGCATTTTTAACCAACTTCCAAAATCAAGAGTCGCAGTCTGCGGTTTTTGTAAAGATAAATGAGTATTTTTGCTTGTATTGGAGAAACCGTCTTTGGAAGTATACCCTGTTCTATTATAAGACTTAATAGTTGAACTTGAAGCCAATTTAATTCGGGACTGCAACGGCATAATTATGGTATAAATTATATGTTAGTAACATCATCAGTATCACTATATAATATTCTTTTATTGTAAATCGAGCTTGTGAGCTTTTAATAATAAAATCAACCTTATTGCCATGCCGTGTCGAATGCTAGCTTTATTATTTTCTAGAAGTTGTAATGTGACAGGAAAACTCTTAATTTTCTGACATGTTTATACTGCGTTACATCCACAAAAACCGTATTATATCAGGGGCCCAAGCACGAATTTTTGACAGCTCCGTAAAGTATCATAATCGTGAAATTTTCTATGGAAAAAGCTAGTTTGTTCTTACATCAGCTGCTAAGTTTTCATAGAAACTTTGACGATACGATACATACGGAGCTGTCAAAAACTCTTGCATGGGGTTCTGGGGTTCAGGTTTGAGAAGTGACGAGTATCTAGTATTTCATTATTGCTACTTCTAATGTGAACCAACTGATCACCAGGCGGTTTCGGCATGGGCGGCATGAGCGGCAGCATGGCGCAGCAGCAACAGATGCAGCTTCAGCAAGCGCGCCTGCAGCAGCAGCAACTACTGCAGCAACAACACCAGCGGTAATTTTATACTTTTTATAATGTTTTGAGATGAATCATCTATACAGAGTTAATTTTAAAACACCAACAACCTCTTAGGGGGTGATTCTACCCATCAACAGGAACAACCTTTATCATGGGACCAACGCTGAAACCGCGAAAAAGAAATCAGCTGTTTCATACATTTTGGTTGATTAGCTGATGCACTTTTGTATGAAACAGGAGTACAAGGGATTTTGCTGTCACGAAAAAGCGTTTAGGACCCGTGGAGGGGAGGAGAGGGTAGACAATATATCGCGCGAAAGAAGTCTCACTTCTACTATTAATCCGGTCAAATTAGACAGAAAAACAAAAGTGAAGGTACATAAATTTACATCAAGCTGGAAATTAGTAAAAATGTTCAGAAAATAATTTAAAATAACATTTCCAAATTCTCCATCGTTCCTGTACTTGGGAAAAAATGTACTCGAGGTCAAGGAAAAAAAGTGGGTTTTTTGCGATGTTGATAAGTACCAACAACGAGAAATAAAATGTAATTGATAATGTATTTAAAACCTATTTATAGTATTTAATTGAATCTGGAAGCGTCGGGAATTGTTGCATAATGTATTTAAAACCTTTTTATAGTATTTAATTGAATCTGGAAGCGTCGGGAATTGTTGCCTAACTGTATTTGTAACAAAACAAGGTCGCCAAGTGACGTAAACAAATGCTGTTTCTAGAAATTTATTTCACGTTGCTGGACTGTTGTTGTGTTGCGTAAGATTGAATTTGTCAACCAATGTACGTGCCTTATTATGTTCTAATTAAAATCATGATACTATTCGCAATATAATAATTATCTAATGCGTGCAATATTTCCATTACAGAGCTTCGAACCAACAACAACAATCTTCAATGTCACATCTTATTATGCAACAGAATCAAATGATGAATGTGCAAGGACAGGTAAGTTTGAACCTACTAATATTTTTCGTTATTTATAACCAGAATTTAATAAATATTTTTTTCCAATGATTCAAAAATGCTTATTTTACTAACATTTTGTGTCTCACTGTATAGTAGTAATAAAAATGAACTGACTTTTTATATACTATTACTGTCCCCATTTGCTGGGGCACAGGTCTTCCTGTACGAGATGGCTTAAGGAGAATGGGCGGGCCCAGGCGAATTGGTGGGTGCTAACGACTGCAGATGCAGCCGGGACCAATGGCTTAATGTGCCTTCCGAAACATGCTCGAGGTGATAAGTTTTCGTCACCCATCCAATGCTCGGCCATTACGAAAGTTGCTTAACTTCCATGATCGCAGACCGAACGCGCTAGCCACCTGCGCCATAGCGCTCCTATTTTCAAATCTTTTTGGTATAGGGGGATTTTCTATTTCCGCGAGCTAGGTGCTGTTAGCTCGGGGGCTCCGGAACGATTACTGTTGGTCGGCCATTATTTGAGGAGCTGGTGAACAAAACGGTGTTATTACGCATATGGTTTTGACCATATACTACTTTTGTTTTAACAGCCCAGAGGGCCAGCTGAATTTAAATTTCAACTCATGTCAATCAAAACCGCCTAAAATAGTGTTAAAATTACTAAATTAAAAATCACGCCAAAAGCTCACTGTAGGTATATCATTAATTTTTTTATACTGCTTCTGTTAAATGTTATTATACTGTTCTGTTCGCTAGCTCCATATTTATAAGTGTTAGCATCCGCACTTCTCTTGCGCAATGTAGTCTTTCATAAAATTGAGGAGCGCCTGTTCAAATGGGGCTATTTCCCTATTTACTGACTTATAGTTTTTTTTCGTGAATTGTACTGGTATTCTAAGACCCAATTACAGCCTGTGTGTCTTGATGGAAATTGATTATTTCCCCTTCAAATTTGATCTTGCGAATTTAAGGTTCTATTCAAACGGTGCTATTTTCAGCTCATTTAAAAGTTTTTGTTCGACACATAATATTTTTTATTCTATCAAACTTTTCGAAATGTTTTTTTTAATTGGAAGCTACATTTATGCCAAATATATAAAACAACTTGGCATTGATTAATTGTCATAAAAAAACAAACAAACAAAGAAATGTTTTGCTAAGCTTTTCTGTAATCCCGAAAAAACAAAATTATATGGGAAGAACTTTTTAAAATAAAATAAAACATGCATTATGGCAAACTATCAAATTTGCATGTTTTTTTCATGTTAAAAAGTAATGAAAAGTAGTCAATGCCAAGTTATTTTATATATTTTGGCATAAATGTAGCTTCCAATTAAAAAAAAAACAACTTCAAAAAGTTTATTTGTTGATGCTATTTATTATCATTCCTGATCTAAAGATGCAATTTTCCGAATATCCGACCAAAAAGTGCTATTTCCATTTTTAAGTACTTAATTTTGTGCTTTTTAATAATAACAATAATAAATAAATTTACCCTAAAAATAAGGGGCCTCCCCATGAATTACCTGGATAAAAAAAATACACTTTACATACATCATGAAATAAGCATACGTATTTTTTAATTTTATCAACATTTACTTAGCATGGAAATAGCCCCTTTCGAACAGATGCTCCTCAAATTTGAGTGCAGCGCCGGTAGCGCCATCTGTTTTTGTGGAGTATCAAGTATTGCTTCGGTAATTTATATGTAGGGCGTGTAGATGTGACCGTCACGCCTAATGACTTAACTAACAATAAGAAAAAATATTTAGCACTTGTGTAATTTACTGACTTATAGAGATCCTCTCCTTAAATGGATGCTTTCAATACAATCAAGGTTGCTTAGGAAAATTTACGCCAACATTTGGCGCAACTGTGACATGAGGTCTTTTGAATACAGTATAAGTTTTTATCGCGGAACGAGCATTTAAATTGATCCATAGACTATAGCGATATAGCTTAGGTTATTCATTTTCGTACTTCGTGTTTTACTGGCAGTATTCCACTTAGTAGATCTCCTCTCCTCAAATATATATATACATACGGATACATACAGGTGTAAAAAAATCTATAACGAAGTTGAAAGCCATGTATTTTCCACATCATGACGATCATTTTTTTCTTCTGGACCATACCAGGGACATTTATGGTTATGGAGATATTGAAGGTCAAAGCCAAAATATTTTTTTCATGTTTTGTACATTAATATTTTCAAAACGTTATTTAGAATTTTATCGACGCACTTAGACACACGCACACACATACACACAGGCACATTCTTTGCGTAGTGCCACAGTAGCGCGCCGCGCTATACCTTGCATACTGGAAAAATAGTTATTTATTATACAAGAGTGGAAAGTTCCTTTTTAACCGCGTGCTCGATTTGGATGACCGAGCAAGCGAAGGATTCTAAAGTTGAATCACGAGCGCAGCGAGTGATTCTAAATTAGAATCCTGAGCGTCAGCGAGGGAAACAAACGAGCACAAGGTGAAAAATCTTTCCACTCGAGTGCAATACGTAACTTTTCATCCCACCTCAGCGAGGAAATGACAAAATGAAAAAGAAAACAATTTATAATGACAAAATATTTTTATTTCAATTAAAACACATTAAGATAATCTATAAATTGAAGAAAATAATAAGAAGTAGAAAATAATTAAGAAATATTAAATGTAACGTTGCTACAGTTACTTATGTTAAGTTTAATATTTTTGTTAGGTAATGTTATGTTGGTGTTTGTGAATTGTGCGCTGTTTTGTGGTAAACTACTCGTATCAGTAATTTTAAATAGTTGTGCCGATTCATTGGATTCTATTGGCGTAAATGTTGGCGAGAGAGGGCTATTGTTTCCAATCTTATGGGGGCTCATTTTAGATGTAGAAGGGCGAGACCAAGAATCTGACAGAGGTTCTTTCAGCGTTATGGCCTCCACGATACTATTACAAATTTTTGATTTACTTTGGATTGAATCCTCTATGTATCCCTCTACAACCGAATTAGACTTCCAGCCTCCATGGCGCTTAAGCGATAGAAGATCAGCCCCTGATTCGGCCAAAAGTGTGGCTGAGGTTCTTCTAAAACAGTGACCGGTGTATAACGGGGGTTCTAAAAGTCCGAGAAAAGTTGCTATTTCTCGTGGAATACTGCCAATTTTATTCTGACCCATAGGTTGTCGGATACACTTTCCGTTGCGATATTGTAGAAAAAATCGTTCAATTGGGGTGTTAGAAGGACGTAAAGCTTGATATTTCTGAACAATGTTTACATATTCCTTGCGAATAACGAAGTTGCGGTCTTTTTTTGTCTTGGTATTTAGATAGATAGATAGATAGATAACACTTTATTGTGCACACCATATTAAATATTACACACTAGGACAAAACTTAAATAGTGAACAATTGGCGGTCTTATCGCTATATAGCAATTTCTGCCAGACAACCATAGGATGGAGAGATGAAATTTAATAAAAGAGGGGGTGTGCTCATATAACAAATAAAAATAATTACAATAAAAGATTCAGGATTAAACATACTCATAAATATCTACTATGCAAGTATACAAATATTAAATGAATGAGTAGAGAGACATAAACATACATACACACATACAGTTGGAACAACACAAACAACTACTTTGAAAGGAAAAAATCTTTAATCTGCTTTTTAAATAAACCAATCGTCTGGGCACGTCTGATGTTAACGGGGAGAGAGTTCCAGAGGCGCACAGCTTGAACACAAAAAGAATATTTATAAAAGGTAGTATTATGTGATGGAGTTTTAAGGCTCAAATTCTCTGATGAGCGTAGAGACTGAGAGTGGGAGCAGTGGAGAAAACTGAAAAGCTCTTTAAGATAATTGGGATAAGAGGGATTAAACAACACATTGTAAAGAAGGGAAAGTATATGAGTATCCCGGCGACGACGAATTGGAAGCCACTTGAGTTGAGAACGAAACTGGGAAACATGATCATATTTTCTTAAACCAAATATGAACCTGATGCAGAAGTTTTGAAGACGCTCAAGTTTATTTAGCTTGTCCTCGGTAAGATCTAGATAGCAGGCGTCAGCATAGTCAAGGACTGGAAGCAATAGAGATTGAGATAGCATAATTTTAGTGGCAGTGGGTAAAAAGTTACGTAGTCTTCTTAACGAACCAGCAGACGCATACAGTTTTCGACTTACAGCTTGCAGCTGTGGCTCCCAGCTCAATGAACTATCCATTATCACTCCGAGATTCTTTACCGTTGAACTATAAGGTATGTCAGTTCCTTCGAAACTAACTTTAGGAAGATTAGTCCAGTTAATTTGAGATAATAGTCTAGAGCTACCGACTATCATGACCTGAGTTTTGATAGGATTAACATTAAGGCCAAAAGCTTTACTCCACTCCGCAATTCGACACAGATCAACATTAGTTTTAAAAACTGCTTCCTCAATTTTTTCAAGTGGCGCCTGGCAATATATCTGTAAATCGTCTGCATAAAGGTGGTAGGAAGAAGATAAGTTAAGAGAAATTGAATTAATAAATATTGCGAAAAGAAGAGGAGATAATACGCCGCCTTGTGGAACGCCAGCAGACGTCTCGCACCATGACGAGAATTTGTCATCAAGGCGAACACGCTGCCTACGTCCATACAGATAACTGTAAAACCAGTCAATTACCGTTGGAGATATGTTAAGAGAGCGTAATACGGCTATAAGAACATCAAAATCGACAGTGTTAAAAGCGTTACTAAAGTCCAATAATGTTAGCACAGTTAGGCGACTCTTTTCCATGCCAAGTCGGATGTCATCAGTAACCTTGACCAAGGCAGTGACAGTGCTATGGCCAGGACGAAAGCCCGATTGAAGAGGATTTAGGAGATTATGGCGTGTAAGGAAATTATTAATTTGTTTGTGAAGGAGACGTTCAAGCACTTTGGATAAAAAGGGAAGAATGGATATAGGACGATATTCGGAGAGGACTTTCGGGTTACGTACTTTAGGCAACGGAACAATCTGGGCATCTTTCCAAGCAGAAGGAAATGAAGCATTGGAAATAATACTGTTAAAAAGGAATGTTATGACAGGAAGGACAATGTCAAGAATTGGCACTAACATATTACGACTTATGCCGTCGCTACCTATAGCATTAGAAGTAGCAGAAAGTAAGCTCGTCTTAACATCACAATCCGTTAATTGAACAAAAACAAAGGGAGAGAAGTTCGGTATTGGTCTGGTTGAAAGTTGACTAAGGGTGTTAATTTTAACAGCAGTATTAATACCAGCAGAAGAAGTGAAATGAGTATTTAGAGAATCTAAGTTAATATTAGGAGCACCAGAGTCCTCCCTAGATTTTCCAATACCGAGCGATCTTAGAAATTTCCAGACTTTTGGAGAGTCTTCAATACTGACAGAATTGTGAATGTGACGACGTAATGCATCCCTACACACCTTATTGCAGCGATTACGAATTTTGATATAAGTTTCTTTGTTATGATCACTTGGCCGACATTTATACCTACTTTTAGCAGAAGCTTTTTTGTGCATTAATAATTTTATATCATCCGTAAGCCAAGGTGCAGGAATATGCTTTAATTTAACGGGTCGAAAAGGTGCATGCTTGTCATATAATTTTATGACCAATGTATTAAAATTGGCCACCTGCTCATCCACAGTTGTTGCAGAAAATACAGGCGACCAATCAATATCAGTAGCGTCTAGAAGAAACGCTTCACGATTCATGCCACTAAAATTACGCTGAAGAATAATTTTAGGCTTAGCCTTAGGAGGACGAATTTTATAGGACAAGTAGATAAGATCATGGTAAGAAAAGGCGTCAGCCGAACATTGACCATGCTTAGCAACATACTGGGGTGTAGATACAATTATTAAATCGAGAAGAGTTGGGATACAATTTGGGTAATGGTGGGTGGCACTAAGTGGAAGAGTATGCATGTTGCTAGCACTAACTAAAGATTGGAGAGATAAAGTACGGTGATCATTTTTGAGGAGACAAGTATTAAAGTCACCCATTATAATTGTATGGCTGTAAGAGGGTGCAAAGGTGTCCAACAGGGTTTCAAAAGAAGTAAAATAGTTAATATTTAATGAAGGACAATAATAAACTCCGAGAAGAATCTTTGTGTGTGATAGAAGAATCTCCACCAGTAGATGTTCACCAGCATTAGAAGGAGGCGGTTGAACTGAAGTGCTAATAACAGTGTAGGAAATATGTTCACGTAGGTAAATAGCAACTCCACCACCCCCTGACCCAATGCGGTCATTTCGTATAAGACGAAAGCCAGGCAATACATATGAAGAGGACGGTAGACTTGGTTTCAACCATGACTCTGAGATTAAAACTGCATGTAGGTTTGACTGGTTAAGTGACGCCAGCATGTCAGAATAATGAGCCGGAATACTTTGGGCGTTGATATGGATGGCGTTAAAATTCTTCGCAACATCAGAAAATTGATTTTCAAGGACATCAGAAAGAGACGGAATACTACTAAAACTGTTATTGGAACTATTGCACTCGTCAGACGATAATGAGAAATAAGGCTCATTGTCACTGTTTGTACTTACATTTGACATGATAATAATATTGATAAAATGTATGTATACTCAATATATATATAAATATCTATGAACAAAAATATATATATAAAACAAAAGACTGAACTAATAACTTATAAGTTACAAACTCCACCTGCCGGTTGAAATACGAAAAAAAAAAAAAACAAAACTTGTACACTAACAGATTGAGGTAAAATGAGATTTGAAAAAATAAATAAATATAAATGTACTTTAAAAAGAAAAAAAAAATTGAAAAACTAAACGCTTTGACAATACAAAATAAAATAACAGGTACATATCACAACATCACAATCATAAAAGATTATAAAGTAATTAAAAAAAAAAAAAAAAACAATATTATGGCTGTATAACTTGTTAATGCTTTGCCTTAAACAATAGATGACAATACATAGGAAAAAAAAACAAATGTTAATGTCATCTTTATGCCAAAACCTGTAATGTTTTGGTTATTTACATTTACCTACTTAGATTCATAAAATTGTGTTTTAACAGTGATTAAATGTAGGTAAACAAGATCAAAATTTAACAGAAAGACGACAAGCAAACAAACAACAAAAAAAATTGCTATTAATTTAGTACATTAATTAATAGCAATTCATCAGAATTATGAGAATATTTTGATACGTTATTGACATTAAGTAGTGTAAGTTCATTTGTTCGACATGCTCCGGTTATACCAATAATAAGAACAACCTGTAACAAAAGAAGTATTTATAATCGTAAATAAATTAATCAAATTAAAAATATTGTAAGTACTATGTACAATTTTATCAACAACAAAAAATTACACGTATTGACTTACTTTTGCCGCTAAATATACGGAATCAGGTGCTTCATTAATAAACTTTGCAATTTCAGATGCTGTGAAAACCTTCGATTTTTTTGGTTTATAACCAGATGAGGCTCTTTTTAAAAATGCCACTAATTTATGATAGGTGTCGATATGAACGTCTTTCTTCATCTTAATTGTTAATTTTAGCATTGAATACGTACTCCATAGCGTGCTTGCTTTCTTGGTCTCAGATAATTCTATAAAATATGCCAGCAAAACGTTTTCGGAGAAAGTTTTTGCTCCTTTAGCTAGTCGCCACATGTTAAATATATCGTACTGTTTCAAATACTTCTCTCGTGATTGCTGAGGGAGAAGGCTCATTTGCGCATTATTAACTGTTTCAGTTAACTCAGTTGGCGTTAGATAAACTTCATCGTCGCTAATGTCACTCATTTTAGTTGATTTTTTTGTACAGTTTTTAGGTTATGTTAATTATATTAAGCAATAAAACGTGAAAAACTAGAATGGCGCGAAGCACGCAAATAAAACAAAGAAACCAAGAAGGTTCCAAATTTAAATTTTTTCACAATTTAAAAAGTTCTAATCATAAATTTGGCACCATAGAGGTTACATTAAATAGGTTTAATGACGTTTTGAATTTACAATTATATTGAGTACTCATTATATGTGATGTTCTAAATTCAAATCTACTTTGCCGCTCAAGCGAATAAAATAGAATTTTCCAGCCAGATTTCGAAGCGCAAAATTACACTTTCCGAGGTGGTGGGATGAAAAATGATTTTTTTAACTTAAAGATACAATTTTTTCTCACCTATAATATTTTGTAATATGACTTGTTTGGGTGTACAGAATGCGTAGTTTAAGTCTTTGTCATAGGTTTTTTTACACCTGTATATAAGTATATTTATATAGAAATACATATTAAACATCCATGACTGGAGTACAAATGTTCGTATTCATCACACAAACATCTGCCCCCACCGGGATTCGAACCCGGGGACCTCTCGAGTCGGCGACACCATGAAACCCGGCGTACAAACCACTCGGCTACAGAGGTCGTCAAAACAAAATTAGGTGAAATTGACTAGCGTTTTCGTCCATTAGATGGCGAACATCCACATGTCGCAGTCCCAAAGCATGTCAATGCAAGGCGCCGGTATGGGTATGGGGCAGCCCGGCATGCACGCAGCGATGCCCCCCGGCGGCGGCATGATGCCAGGTAACCAATCTATATTAATATCATAAAGCTGAAGAGTGTTCCTTTGTTTACATGAATACGCTAATTTGCTACTGGTCCGATTTGAAAATTTTCTTTCTGTAATAACAATATTAGTGTTCGTTTATTAATAAGGGGGTTCAAGTTGGAACAAACTTTAAACGCAATAGGAATGACGACGGAGTACAGTAAACAAAATTCTATTTTGGTCGTCAGTTAGATTATCGAAAAAATAATAGACACGTATTTTTTCTTTTGCCAATTGACCAAAAATTTACAAAAATAAAAAGCGCGTCAGTTTGGTAGTGGGGTCTCGTGACGTCACTTTTTAGTAAAAAAAAATACGAAAACGTGACGTCGCTCGATTTTTCAAGTCAATGTATCAATATCTATGCAATGTTTTTACTATAAGAAAAATTAAAAAATACGTGTCCATTACTTTTTGATAATCAACTTGATAGACGAAAGAAAAAAAGTTAGTCTTCATCCCTATTAGAGTCTGTACGGAAAGAGAATGGGCGTGGCGAAAACCGAAACTAACATTAAGATTTTCATATGCCAATCCAACCCAGCCATCTGTCAAACGTCAAAGTTTTGTATTGATACGAATTTGTTTGTTGTTGTGATTTCTTGTGGTTTTTTGTATTTAATCATGTCTAAAAGGGGTAAAACCTTACAAATACAGTAGAAAAGCACTACTGCTCCCCCCAATCTAAACCCCATTCTCTTTTCACACAGACTCTACTATGAACGTAACATATCTATAGGCATAATATATCATTGCAGGTAACCAACCCGCCCAGCAGTCCCCGTTTGCGATACACAACGCGTCTTCCTTCGGCGGCCAGGCCGCTGACTTCAACCTCGACTTCCTAGACAACATGCCTTCCACGGACGCGAGCAATCTCACCGCGCAAGAACTATTAAACTCATTGGACAACTCGTTTTTGAATGACATACTTTAATTTAGAAGCGAAGAACTTCCGGTTTGAATGAGCGCCATCTGTTGGCGATTAAGTGAGCAGCATGGCTTCCACGGACGCGAGCAATCTCACCGCGAAAGAACTATTAAACTCATTGAACCATTCGTTTTTTAAAGACATAATTTAATTTAGAAGCGAAGAACTTCTGGTTTGAATGAGTGCCATTTACTGGCGATTGAGTGAGCAGCATGGCTTCCGCGGATGCGAGCAATCTCATCGCGCTAGAGCTGTTAAACTCATTGGACAACTCGTTTTGAATGACATACTTTAAATTAGAAGCGATGAACTTCCGGTTTGAATGAGCGCCATCTATTGGCGATTGAGTAAGCAGCATGGCTTCCACGGACGCGAACAATCTCATCGCGCTAGAGCTGTTAAACTCATTGGACAGTTCCTTTTAAATGACATACTTTTATTGACGCGAATTAGCTTGTGGTTCGGATGAGCGCCACCTATTGGCGATTGAGTGTAAACAGCACTTTACTGATTGGACTATTCCACTTTGAACGTGAAATAAGTTCTTCCCGATCGCAGCAATTGATTTTTGATTAGAATGAGCGCCGTCTATTGGCGATGTTGCGATTGAGTGTAAAGGGCTCACTTGCAAACCCAGGTTATGCATATCTGTATAGGAACATTTGATAAAATACAGTTTGTACTGTATTTGTTATTGTTTAATTAAAATATCGAACGCATTGATTACGCAAACGGTGTTCATATACCTATTAATTATAGCAAATTGATAGTATGTTAGTTGCAAATGTTGATGAATGTAACGTGTCACGTAACAAAATTATCGGTGAGCTAATAATTTCTGAATTGAATTTCTCCATTACAATGCAATTTCCAATAACCGTACATTGTGCTTATGCTCAAGGAATAATGTTTGATAATATCATATTTTGTTCACGATATTGTCTTTTAATGTACTTATTCAAGACTTTAGATCGTATTAGATGAAATAATTATGAAAAGAGAAAATGTGTATGAACACCATGCTGATAAACAGCAGCGATGTACTTCCTACCTTACTTATACAATAGGATATTTTCCAAATTTTTAAAAACTGCTTATATTTAAAGATTGCGACAAACGATTTAACAGAAAAATAAATTAATTAATGACTTTTTTTTCTCTATTAAACCAAATAAAGTTGAATTTATTTTTGATGGTTTTGAATTTACCGCCAAACGGTTCGATGATGTCTACTGTATGACGTCAATTTTGTGTAAAGATATATTGTTTTAAACTTTCATGCTCACTAAGGCGTTGAGCAGACGACAGGGCGGAGCGGGCATTTTGTCCGCGAAGCAAAAAAGACCGTGTCTGCCCGTCGATGTCTGCGGCTGCCCGCGCCGCGTACACAAAGCACACGACGGGCAGAGGCGGTCAGTTTAGGACGTTCGTTCTAGTGAATAGTCCATGACCGCCCCGCGCCGCCGATTGCGTTACTGCATATAAATTGGTTTGTATGATCCACGGCGGGCAGCCGCGGACATGCCGCGCCGCCACTGCCCGCCGGACACCTGCGGCGCAGTCTTTTTGCCTTCTGTATGCGTTTGAAGTATAGGATTCACTTTGTGCTATTATTCGCGGCGAAATTGACCGGCCCGCCCCGCCCCTTCGTCTGCAAAGCGCCTAACATTATAGCTATTAACGGGATTGTTATCATGTACCCTGTTTTTTATGAGTCTCCGATATTTCGGCACTGTTGCAAGCGCCATGATCACGGAGATCGTGATCATGGCGCTTGCAACAGTGCCGTTACAATCCCGTAAATAGCTATAATGTTTGTGTAAAGAATTTAAACACCTATGTAGTCTGAGGACGATCTGTGATTACGGAATAATAATTCGACGATTTCTTTTCTTTTAAAATATTTTGTTTAAGTATTATACTATAAATTTATCCCCAACGTAAAAAAAGTTGATAATTTTACCTTCAGTTGATTACATAGCATACACAAAGTTGACGTCACCCAGTAGACGTCATCGAACCGAGCGTTTTGACGGTGAATTTAAAACCATTAAAAATAAATTCTACTTTAATTGGTTTAATGAAGAAAAAAGACGTTAATTCATTTATTTCTGTTAAAACGTTTGTCCCAATCTTTAAATATAAGCAGTTTTCAAAAATTTGGAAAATACCCTATGGCACCTACAAACCAATATGTTGCCTGTGTTATAGTCATAGTTTAATTTAATGGAATAATTAACTTACTGTCCCAGGTCCAGCTTGATGGATATTTTAAATTATTGCTTTTCAAGTGTAAACTCCAACCAAGTATTATTCATCTGATATTTTAAACATGGTTGTCTATGTTTAATCTTTTTCGGTCCCGTTTGTAACTAAACAAATATAGTACTTAAATGTATTTTGTCGCTTATAAATTGCTTTGTCTCATTGTTTTTTTCGTTACAAAAAATTACAACAAGAATATTTAGAAATTCAAATATCAGTACCATGTGAATTTTTATTAGCAGAAATTAGTAGAAATCAGAGCTTCATTCCTATCTTATATCAACTATTGTTTTCAAGTTTTCAAATGGATTATTGGCGCGTTTTGTCCTTCGAATATTTCGTTAAGAAATACGAATAGTTTGGTCGTTTTATCGGGATACGTGTAGGTTACATTACTGTTAACACCCATTTACAATTTACAGTAATGTTTTGGAACAGAATATCGTGTTTCGCTAGTTAGTAAAGTTTACTATCAACTTCTTTCTCCAAGATGACTGAACTATTATTTTCAAATTAAAGATACATACGACCAATGCAAATCAATTATTGACCAAAGTTATCAAACAGGAATTTAAACATCATTTATGAAGTAACTAGTTGAATATAAAATTAAAACTTCCGATGTGTTTATTGTAATTTCGATCGCATTGTTTTATAGAGTATTTATTGTGAAAATATCCATTTCATAGTATTTATAGCTATTAAGATTGTTAATAATTCTTTTGTAAATATTTTTATCGTACTTTAAGATGTTTGATTAATATTATTGTAAAAGTGACGCGATCCGAGAGGCAGTCACAGACAACTGACACAATCTGGCTGAAGATTATATTTGAACTATTACGATTATAGTATAATATATATTTATTTGAGACATTCTAGTAGTCCATAAGATGAATAGCACAAAATATTTGTTTTAAATACAGTTTTTATTTATTAATGAACAATTATGTCAAATCAAGGACAAAAAAGGGAGGCAATTATTTACTGTTTTGAAATGTATATTATAAAACTGAATATAATTGTGAAATCATGTTAAACATCAATAATTAATTTATTTAACTTATCTTCCATCGATTGTTCCTTTGTAATGTAAAGCTATTTCAAGATTATAATGGTTGCTATTAATGTCTCTCCGCCTGGGGATTAACCGATAATATTTAATTAAGTAAAAATGTAAATGTTATGATTTATTTAAAATCATTCCTGTACCTAAGATAGTAGTTTTACTGTGATGTCGGTCTCAATGGTCAATAGGTAATATAGAATCAATTATTATAAATATATAGATTATTGTTATTGTTAGGATCTCATGTATCATTTTGGAAGGGGTATAAGGGATTCTGGAATATCTAGGATGTTGATTTTCATATATTTTTTTTATAGCTTGATTCCAAAATTATCGTAGGATATATTTCCTATGTGTAAGTATGACATTATTAATCAAATACTGTTGTTAAACAACACAACTATTTTACGTTATCCTGATATATTTAAATTTACATGAATTTATATAAATCGGACGATCGAAGGAACTTCTTGAATAAATCTCGAATAAAGAATAATTTTGTTCAAATAAGCGAACAAGATTGATCTAATCAGGTTAACGTAGAATAAAACAAACTCCCAAACATATGATGATGCTCCGCTCTCTAATAAAATTACAGATTTGTGTATGACAACATTCCAGAGCCATTGTTAACAATGTTTTAACTTTAGGACCAATTTTTGAACATTCTTTTGAAATAATATTACATAATATTGAAACACGAACACTTTTTGATTTCATTCCCAAATGACAATTAATCGCAAATTAATACTTAGAAATTAACATGAAATTATATAAAAAGGGTTTATGTTTATTTACAATAAATTAATGTTTATAATTCAATTGGGCATTCATTCACTCGATACATTATTTATAATTACGGAGTAAACACTTTAGAGACACAACACAAAAAGCAGTAATATGACGCTAATACTTAAAAAAAAAGATGACATGAGTAATAATGAGTTTTTCTATTTGTAAAACAATCAAGGTCTTTGAAAATCCTTTTTATGGCACAACACTTAAAATTTTCATAACTTTACTAACTTATGAAGTCACTATTTTATGTGTAATTTTACTGTCCGTCTTCCACGAGAGGGGGCAGTGAGCGGAATAACTCCAGGCAAAAAGTAAGTTGTTCATAATATGTGATTTGTCGTTCTAACAACAGATCTTGTTTGGCGTTAACGAGCTCTTAACACTACCTCGGTTCATTATTTTCAATGGAAGCCCTCTTTTAATGACTGCATACTTGTTAGTTAAACGATTTCGTAATAGAAGGGGAGCACAAGCGGGGTTTGTGGGATACTCGAGCGCGGCAGAAAACATAAGCGGGGCAACCTTGCACCTTGTAAAGTACTCTCACCATACCTGAGCCTTTTATGTAGTGCCCAACGTTTAGGGCAGCCAATGTGAACCCTCTAGATAAGCTCCTATTGAAAATATGTACTGACAATTAGGACGCGACCAAAATTCATGGCCGTTTGTTGATTTTTTGGCCCTACATAAAGGGCTTAGGTATGGTAAGAATATTTCACAAGGTTGCATGCCCCCTTAATGTTATTTTGCCGCGCTCCAGGAAGTCGCAAAATCCCCGCTTGGGCTCCCAAGTCGAAACGCAGTGGTGCGAATTTCAGTAATGCACAAATTCCTTCTGAGCTGATATTCAGCGGAATTCGAAATAATCATTCTCGCGCGTCTTCTTTTTATCTCAAAAGGAATAATATGCGTCGTAGTCATCTAGTTAAATAGCGAGCCAATTCGACGCCTAGGCCATTCATTAAACGCCGGCATCCAATTAAATCAGTAGGCCGATAGTTAATAAAACTAAATCACTAACGTTTAACGACTTCACGTATTGAAAGTTAGCCTGTTGGAAATGACTGACCAAGACTATAACCTTCGCCTCGCCAGGTAAATTCTCATGGATACTGCGAGGCCAGGGAGGAAAAAAAAATCTCTTACTCACCAGCGGCGCCACTAACCTTGGAGATGGCGCCACGTTTGTTTTTTAAATTCATAGCGTTTTGTGATTTTAGCACGTAACGTGCAGTGTATGTGGAAAAAATTATAAACAAGTAAATTCATTATCTTAGTGTATTCGTCTCGTAAATTGTTTAAAAACATAATTCTCCATAGTTTTTGCATAAATGACCGGTGCAATAAGTGGTAATTAGTGTAAACACATCAGACCAAAGATTTGAAAATCTTTGCATCAGGCGCGGTAAGTCTTTGGCATTGCAGACATTCAGTGCCGTCTTTGACCTATTGGAGGCCCTGGGCATATTAGGATAATGGGGCCCCTATGACCTCCGTTTGGTGATTTAACAGGAACTAGGGATTTTGTATTTGATCTGAGGGGGCCCCCTATCGATCGCGGGGCCCTGGGCACTTGCCCAAATTGCCCACTGGGAAAGACGGGTCTGCACACATTGTAGGAGACTAGGGGCCCGAAACTTTTCCTCTTCTGCGGAAGACTAAGGTTTCGCTGGCCTGCTTGCTAGTTCACGGAGAGCGTGTAAGCTGTGTATTGCTATAATCAGTTTATTGAGCTGCATTTAATTCATCTTAGACGCTAACCATTAAACTATTAATAATTGTTCTATTAAGTATAATAGGACGTTAGTCCGACACATTAAATACCATCGACAACATGTTTTTATAGGCTAAATTCATTTTTCAATTCATTTGATACCAATTACTTTTCATGTTCCTTAGCTTTGTTGAATTTCATTCATCTAGAATGAGAAACTGCCATTCCAATACACAAGAAAATTATTTATACTCATTTTTTTAGCTGATCTAGCTATATTAATAGTTATAAATTATGAATTGGTTTGCTGCCAATCTCAACAATTGTTACCTACTCCTTATCAATCAAATAAATTTAAAAAGTTCTTGTTGACCTGACTCAAAATATAATAAGGACAGAGTGCATAGAAACAAGGATGATTGGATTCTAAAGGAATCCTTATTTGATGATTTATTTTATCAAGTTGGATCATGGCTGTAGCTAGAGTCGAATTTGAGGTAGGGCAGCATTGGTTACAAGTAGGGCGGAAGTAAAAAAAAATATCATAATTGATCTGCCCTCGGAGCACGGGCCTCCTAAATCAATCGCCATGTATATCATTGACCTCTAGGTCAATGATGTACCTATTGCTACTATTTTTTTTATCTCAAACTATATACAAACAATTTAATTATAAAAAATTATCTTAGTTTTTGGTATTTTTAAGGTAGGGCGTTGTGATTTCAAGGTAGGGCATTGCCCCACAATGCCCCACCCTAGCTACGGCCGTGAGTTGGATGCACTAGCACGGTAATAATATCATATAATATTACCGTGGCACTAGTATTGATATTTAAATTATACCTGTCCTTCTAGGTATAATTTCAATTTTTTTCTATATAATGCACATAGCGTTTTGTGTTACTTATCAATTACTTTTCACCAGCAGATAACAAACAGGTCTTCATCCAAACGCTGTGTGTTTTATGAGATCATTTAGTAGAATTGTTTTGCATTGAGAAAATTGTAAGTAAAGCTATAAATCTGCTTGACGACCTCCGTGGCCGAGTGGTTTTTACGCCGGGTTTCGTGGTGTCGCCGACTCGAGAGTCCCGGGTTCGAATCCCATCTTTAATATCTATTTCTATATAAATATACTTATATATGTACAGTACATGTATTCCATCCGTTACCCTAGCATCCCATAACACAGGCCTTATAGTGATTACTTTGGGGCTAGGCTAATTGGTGTGAGTGTCGGAAATATTTATTATTATTATTATTAAATACTACACATTGTCAAATATACACACACCGTCACAGATTAACCAGAATCACAAGACAGGTTTTAATCAACATATAATAATAAAATTATGTATCTGTTTTTTTGTAATGCAAAACAGTTTCTATTATTTCCATTCGCGCTGCATTTTTAAACGAAAATAAAATGTGATATTGTGAAACTCATATAAAAACGTGAGTTTTAATCAGAAAATGGATTCGAATTTTGACGGAATATGAACCTCAACATTAAGGTTGGTTTGGGAATATAATTTAACTTTTAAACGATTAACCGGATGGCTAACAACATGACGTTCAGCCATCTGATTGAACGTTGCGTTCAAAGAATTGGCTAGTTGTTATTCAGCTATTTAATTGGATGCCGACATTTAATTAATGACCTAGACCGTTTCCTGAATTCCTGATTAAGCTAGTTAACTGCGACATACACATTACGTTGCGGACATAGTGGTGAATTTGCTTTATTACGTTTCTGAATTAGCTTCGATGCGCTTCGACTTTGCGCTAGCATGAATTGATTTACCATAACGCTCAGGATGTGAATGTGAGGCGGGCATAAGATAATGTCCAGCAGACAGCGTTAAGTCGATGTATTAATGCACTCTTGCCAAGTGTTAGGGAGGGGGGGCAACTGCCACCACTCCCCTGACCCCCTCCCACCCTGGCGACGCCCTTGTATACGTGTGTTCTGAAATAGTTTATATGCACAGATTTGTGTACGCCACCGGTTACCACATTATGGAATCTGCTTGATGTTTATATATGTAATCGGAGAAACTTTCCAGTTTCCTCTCTAAAGCATTTATCTCCGAAGCTAATTCTCATATCATTTCATTAGGTTTACTGTGGAAGATTCTGGGGTTGCGCACGCGAGGGCTGTAAAAGTTATTCGGTTGAATATATCTTGCTGTTATCGGTTCTTCGTGCAGTGCGCTCATTTTGCTCTCGTAAATGTTCTGGTTTGTGTTGTTGTCTATAGTTTTCATCACATAAGCGTGAATGTTTCGCCTACGTTTTTTTATTCGAATGCAGGAAAACACAGTACTTAATAGGATGCCAAATTTTATGAGAGCCGCTATGAAAAGTGCCAACATAAAGATGAAATATTGCTGTTGATACCAGTCTTCCAGAAGGGAGAGGCAACCCTGCAATTACAAAAACGAATGTAAGTATTGTCATGGTGTTTAGTAGGTAATTATTTAATTAATATTTTGATGCTTATTTCACGGGTAAATCTGCATTGTGGGATTACCAATGAAATGGAAAACAAATAAAGAACCCTTAGATTACGGAACAAAAGGCAGATGGAATGCACCTAACACGCAAGTGCGGCCACCAAAGCAAATACCAAGTCGAAATTAAATACTTTTTCTGTCTTTGTGAACAGTTTTTACAATGTTTGAACAAGGCGGTACAGTTTTATTAAAAACAATATTCACGGGACGTATTCACAACACGAAGGGTTGTAGCATACTGACGCGAGTTTGTATTCGCTTTACCTTCGTATTTGCTTTGGTGGCCGCACTTGCGTGTTTCGTGCGTTTCATTTGCCTTTTGTTCTGTAATCTGAGAAAGAACCTTTATCTACCGTAAGATGCATTTATTGGTGTAGCAAGAGTCGAGTTTCTGGCCCGATTGCAAGGGACAGTAACTACCACCTACATCTACCCTATGGGCGTCGTACATGTACTTACTAGTAGTCTAAGGACAAATTCACACCGGAACGCGGCGAACCTTTACAGCGTGAAATGATTTTTAAACTTCACATCCAATAAAATACCAGTATTGATTAAGCAGGCGGCACCACGGGATTGTTCAAGCTTTTATTTACCTATGAAGATAGTTTAAAATGGTTTCATAATTGCTGCCATTCTGGTGTGAATTGGCCCTTACAATTTAAGGAAATTATGACAGTCAGCCCTATGAATAAGATATAAAGATTTTTTTTATTGTATTAAAATAGCCGGAACTCACGGGCATGTGTCGGTAGCGGGGCTCCGGCTGCACCTCCTGGCAGCGCGCGGGGTCGGCAGGCGCGGGGCTGAGGTGGGAGGCGGGCGTACTCTGTACGCAGCAGGAGGGCGGCACGGCGAGCCCGCGAGGGCCGAGCCGTCTTAGCTGCCACGCGGACATGTCGTAGTTGTGGGCGTCAGACATGCCACAACACTCCAACTTTGGCATAGATAATTACACGATTACATGGCAAGCTTGGCAAGGGAAGAGAACTAATTCTGAAAGTAGGTCTGTTTAATTACGCAAAATGAAAATCATTAGTCCAAGAACAGCGTAACAGGTACAAATTAATGGACGAAGCGTTCTCAGTCCAACGGTAAAGTAAAACTGGGCAGATAAGTGTGAGGGAGACGTAGCAACTGTGTAGTCAATACTTTTATAATCTTACCTATAGGTATTGACTGCACTATCGCTTTCTTCCTTTCCAGAGAGTTGTTAATTTCATAAGTGTCGTTCAGTCCATTCTCCAGGTCTATGGTGCCTGTGCACAGGATTTGTGCCAACTCCGTAGCAGCCATACAGTTCGCATCATTATTACGAAATCAACAGATATAGTCCGGCAGCGCCTACTAAAACTGCAGTGCCACCTACGGCACCGCCACGCGCATTCGGCAGGCCCGTACACTGCAGATATAGCTATAGAATCAATGGCGCCGGCACATGACTTGCGTCAACTTCGCAGTCGTCGTTTACCTGTGTTTGTGCGAGGTCTACAGCGGCCGTGAATTGCTCATAGTCTGGCAGGGTGAAGACTGTAACGCCCCCATGGCATAGCCACGCGGGTTATGCAGCTCTATACACCGCGGATATAGCTAAAGAATCTATGGCGCCGGCACAGGAATTTGCAGTCGTTATCAAGGCATCGTTTACCTGTGTTTGTACGAGGTCTGCCGGCGGCAGTGAACTGCTCATAGTTTGGCTGCGCATAGTAGGACTGCAGCGCCCCCACGGCGCCGCCGCCGCGCGCGTTGTGCAACCCTACAAACCGCGGATATAGCTAAAGAATCTATGGCGCAGGCACAGGACTTCCGTCAGCTACGCAATCGTCGTCAAGGCATCGTTTACCTGTGTTTGTACGAGGTCTATGGCGGCCGTGAATTGCTCATAGTCTGGCAGCGTGAAGACTGTAGCGCCCCCATGGCATAGCCAGGAGCGTTCTGCAACTCTATACACCGCGGATATAGCTACAGAATCTATGGCGCAGGCACAGGATATCGCAGTCGTAATCACGGCATCGTTTACCTGTGTCTGTGCTAGGTCTACGGCGGCAGTGAACTGTTCATAGTCTGGCAGCGCGTAGTATGACTGCAGCGCCCCCACGGCGCCGCCGTGCGCGTTCTGCAGCCCCAGACACCGCGGCCAAACCGCAGCTATCACGCCGCCCGCGCATTCGCACATTAAAAGCGAAAGGACGAGCAGGAAGTACTGCAAGGATAGAACCTCAAACTATATGCAAAGACTATTATAAGAATCCTAACTAATAATGTATTCGTTATTCAGGGCCGAAATTAGAGGTCTGAGGCCCCAGGGGCAACGAAGGAGGCCTCTACATCTGGGCTGGCCACCTACGATTTGCAACTACTCCCCCCTGGTTTGGTCACCCGTCGAAATTTGATTTTTAATCTTTGTTGTGGGGGACCACAGACCAGCCTGCTTTGCCTTAAATCCGGCCCTGTCGTTAATAAATGCGAACGTCAGTTTCTTTTTTTTATTGTTATGCTTTCACTCTTAAATCGAGACAGATAGGAGCAGGTAATAAGATCCGGCCGATTGAAAAGAGGGATAAAATTCTGTGCCCACCTGCTAGATTAAAATATAATCCTAGTTTGAGATGTAATGTACCTACTTACTGAAACGCGTTGAAGGAATGTCGAACGCTAACGCAGACGTGTCATAGTCATAGTCATTTATTCCTTAAACAATTTTCATCGTATTGGAAATCACAAACAATTTACAATAAAATTATTAGATAAAATTAAAATTACAATCCATTTAAATATGATTAGCATAAAATTACAAAAATTCTTATATAATAACATTTCAAAGTCAATCAAACAATTTACAATTAAATAACTACTTCATGCAATATTAATAAAATTAAATATTATGGGTTTTATTTCAATAATATTAAATTACTAACATTTTATTATATATACAAATTCCTAAAATAATATATTATTTAAAAGCACAAAATGAATTAAAACTACTAAATAAACTAAATACTTATCTCAAACTAAAAATAAAATTATATTATATAAAAAATCGACCTCAAATCGCTGCGCTCGCAGGGTAGGGTGCCCAAGAGGCTGGCGGCATTTCCCTGTTGAATGGCCAGACTCAACCTTTGTCCGAAATGCGCGCCAGCCCTTGGATCCCCTGAGGCGTCGATGAGGCGTGTGGAAATCTCCTTAAATAGCTGACGAGCTTCCGCACCCCAAGGCCTCCACGGCAAAAGGCGTAAATATATACAGCTCTCCCAAGGCCCCATATTTACGCCTTTTATTGATTTCGGCTGTCGCCGCAGCTGCGCCGGCTTTGCGAGCGGTCGCTCTCACGTGAGATGGGGCAACAGTGTCCACGCATGTGGCATTCCACACGAGTGACGGCCCGTTTTTCCACGGGATGAGCGTCATACCATCGGGCCTCTTGCCATCGTCCCGGGCGATGCCATTAGGTTCAAGCACTGCTAGCACCCCGGAAGAGGCAAGGGCGCGACGGATGACGTCATTTAAAGCGGCATGACTCGGAATGCGTCCTGCACTGCGACGACATGCTAAACCGTGATGACCTAGAGGATCGACGTCTACCCCACAACGACAGCGATGGGGTTCGTTCGTCCGGGCCCCTAGCCGTTGGCTCACCGCCAAACTAAATGTCGTCCTCTCCAAAAGAGTACCTACGCTAAGCGATGGAATGGCATTTAACCAGTATCCTGACTCTGGCTCACAACTGGCCAAGAGACGAGACCGCTCCGCTTCGTTTTCTGAAGACTCTAAAGGTTGATTTCGGGTCTGTATGCAGAGTGGCTCATCCCACTGCCGCTGCCAAACCAGGTTCAGGGGTAGGTCCGGACCGGTTGTACTGAGCCAGGTATCCCTGGCCTCGGTCAAACAGGCTACCTCTACGCCGCAGAACGACGGGCCTAGTATGCTACCAACGAGGTTAACCGTGCTATAAACTGAGGACAGGAAGGCTGGCAGTGCTACACTTGAATTTTTTCTTATTCCCAGACCACCATGGCGAATCGGCAAGGTTGCTTGGGCCCAGCACCTATCATTCAAAGGACAATTGAATGTGCTATTTAAAGCTACTCTTACTGTCTCATCTAAGCGAGAGAGAAGGTCCTTGTGGGCCCAAAGCGGTTGTACACCGCGAAGCGTATAGGTAATCTTGGGAACAAAGAGACAGAATTTTATAATAAAATAAGCCATGTGAGGATTTATGTCTTTTAGGCGGCTGGAAGATTCCTGAAATTTTAATATTTGATCCTCTACAATTTTGGTGAAAGCCGCTTCCAGCACCGGTGCCCCTAGTAGACGGAGCGACTGGTCGTCAATAATTTTAATATTAGGAGCCAAAACATTAAATTTAGAATTTAGTTCATAACGAGATTGTGCCGGTAGTCTTTCGCTGAAATACAACTCGCATTTAGAAAAATTTAACTGTAAACCAATATTACTGAACGATTTTGTAATTTTTTCCAAATCTGACAAAACAGAAGCAGCGTCTCCACCCAGGGTCCCGTCGTCTAAATACCATACATTGAATTTTGAAGTCAAATTCTTTATGTGGGGGTGTATTGCCAGGCTGAATATTGCCGGTCCGAGAGGGTCGCCCTGCTGACAGCCGACAGCTGATTGTATTACTTGACCATTATAGGCTAGGCTGGTTGATTCGCTGTAGCATTGCCACAGGTAAGCAAAGGTAAGTGGTATCTTTTCCTTTGCCTGGGTCAGCAAAACGCCCCTGTCCAGAGAGTTAAATGTATTCTTTACCTTTAGCAACACTTCGCTTAAGCCTTGCTTGAGAAAGGTGCGCGCAGCGTGAACAGCAGCCTCACACCCCCCCTTGGTTCCAAAACCTAACTGCGTTGGCTGAAATTCCTGCTGCAAATCTAGCAAGATGTGCCTACAGCAGATTTTGGAAGCCACACGACGAATTGTATTGCCTACGGCAATTGCACGGATGCCACCATCCATTTTCCGAAGCGCGCAAAGGTTGGCCCCATATAACACATCAATTATGTCATTGCATACCTTCCCAGAGAACATAAGATTCACGAGGCGGGTCAAATCCTCCAGAAGTGCAGTGCCGACATCAGCAACAACACCATAAATCAGATCTTTAAGGTGTTGTGGTGACATACCGTCTAAATCGCTGGCAGAGCCCCTCCTGTAAGACATAATCGCGGTTCGTATATCCTCTGGTGTAGCCTTCAGGGTACGCTCAGAAGGCTCGGGTGCATCTGGTAAGTGAGCTGTTGCTAAAGGCTGCGGATGTTTAGACAACAAGGCAGTGTAGGTCTCTGGTGAGTTGGGAGCAACGACGTCACTAGAAAATAAAAGGTCAGCAGCACCTTTAATGTCTCCCTCATCAAATTTTGATTAAATTTTTTTTGTAATTTTGTACGATATTTGTTTTTCCTGAATATTGTCTAAAGTAGGCCTAAAGTTGGGGGAACAGTTATTTTTTATTTTTTGTGCAAGGGAACTGCCGTTTTTGTCTTAGCTAACCTGTAGCGTTTTATACGCAAATGTCAGAAAATTTTCCCAGCTATATTTATCGTTCTTTTCGATGACATCTCTGACGCAGGAAGACAAAGAGGTCACACCGTCTAGCCCCGCGAGGGATTCTTTTTACCAAAGGGGGCTTCTCTTCAAGTTGTTTAATTTTTGCCAAAAGGGTCCCTCGGTGGGGGCTTCATTGGCAGTTATATAAAGAAAATTCTCATTGCTACTTACATGCGGTTGCCGGCCTTTATGACACCTACTTTTGTGTATTTTCAAACCTCTTTGTCCTTTGAAAAAACGCGGCTGGGAGCATTCTCCGCATTGCACGGGTTCCTGTGACGTGGTTGCACCGGACTGACTTGCGGATGTAGCCTGCTCAGGGGTCGGGAGAGTTAACATTAACTTTCGTGTCCTTTTTTTATAACTAGTTTTGAACGAGTTATCAAATTTTTTGAGAAATATATTTATTCCTAGGTTTTTGCAATCGATTGCAAAGATCTGTTTTTCAAACTCTCTCGAATTTTGTTCATTGTAAACTCTACGCATAATCTTAATACTCTTGTTCTACAAAACGTAAAAACACTATCAGTAAAATTAAGTAATAAAACAAAATTAATATAGCAAAGTAAAACAAAACCAGATATAAAAAGATTCGGACAAAAGTCTGAAGAAATTAGAAAAAAAAGAAAAAAAAATACTCTTGTTCTTATTATTAAATCCCTGATTGTCCACATTTAAGGTACAGTATAAACCCGCATGTCCATCAGCAAGTCCATTATGATCTATCTCAGTCATTATTTCGGTATCGTGCATATTGGTCAAAATATTATCAATGCAAGATTGCGTGTCATTGCGTTTATATGTCGCAGTATCAATTAAGCATTTAAAATTATAACATGTCAAAAGTTTTAAAAAATCATTTTTTTGTCTATCTTCCCTTAATAAATTAATGTTGAAATCCCCACACAAAACACAACTCTTATTGAAAAAATGTTCCAAAAACTTTTCTAAACTTTCTAAAAATACATCAAAGTTATTTTTTAGTGGATTTCGATAGCAACAACAAACGTTAATATTCGACTAATTAGACTCTTTATCTTTTACACCACATATCTCAAAACACTCAGTTTTGTACAATTTCTTACAGAAAGCAATTTCTTCACAATTTACATGGTTTTGTCCTAATATAATAGATCCTCTACGCCTTTTACTTATTTGGAAATTATAAGCTACTGTCCTATAGCCTTCCAGACAAAAAGTAGGGGCAGAAGATTCATTTAAAAAATGTTCACAAAAACAAACATTGTTCAAATCTACCCTCTTTGAATGTATATACAACTCCAACTCATTTTTCTTATTACTAACACCACATACATTTTGATAAAAAATATTAATATTATTGGTTTTATGCGTTATATTTAAGTGATTATTATGGGCGAAAAAAGGAATTGCAGTTTGTGTGAAGTATATTTGTTTGGCTGCGATCATCTGATAAGTATAACCGCATTAAACTTTATTGTCGGTTGTGAAGTTAGCGCAAGTCGCAGTTCAATATATAGGTGCCCGCTGAATGTCACTTGCCCGGATGCGCTCGTTGTAACTTCACAACCGCTTTGAAGAAACACTATATTTTAGCGCGTTCATTTTAATTTTTAACGATTGTTGTGACAGAAACAATGTATAAAAAGATCCCTCCTATTATTCACTATTAAGTAATAATAATAAAATATTGTAATACAACTCCTCCTAATACAACTCGCAAGCCGTCGCACGAGCACAGGTACCTACAATATTGTCAACGTACGATCATTACCAATTAGTACGACGCCTGCTCCGGGAAAAAGTAGCATGTGTATTAAAGGGAGTAAAGTGAGGGCCACTAAGAAACTCTGATGCAAGTCACCTACTTAAAAAAGAGCGTATACTCCTATCTTTATTAAAAGGTCGGCGCAGAATTTGTGGCACATCTAGTGCTGCAGTTGCAGATGTCCATGGGCGACGAATCATAGCCAAGACAAGCACTATTCTTTATGTTTTTGATGTCTACAAACGATAAACTCATTACTGGGTCATTTTATTATGTTAATCATATATGGATACCCATTCCCAACAGGAAATAATTGCGTAACACGCAATGTGACCGTTTGGTCAATGAATCTTTTGTCTCACTTTTACACTGTTTCGGTACGTGACACATTTAATATTTTACGTAACGATGAAAATAATGTTTTGGTTTTTTCGACTTACTCTGAATCAAGACAAGAATTAACTTATCAAAATAGATACAGACCTGAGGCAATAATAAAATGTTCAAGCTCGGTTTCAAGATTAACTTCGCATAGTAGGTATAATTATTATTCCCATTTTTGCCTACACTTTATATAGATATATTAGAATATGTATGTTAATACTTACTTAAGGTGCAAGTATATTGCGTTAGATACTGACTTCATATTTATTCCTATTCTGAGTCAGGGAGTAAACTATCTGATACACGTGTTTATGTACTTAGTTAACATCAGCAGCCTATAGATAATAGTATGTATGGTCCTGCGGCAGTACAGTCTTTGACCTATTGGAGGCCCTGGGCATATTGGGATAATGGGGGCCCTATGAACTAGGGACTTTGTATTTATTTGATCTGAGGGGGGCCCCCATTGATCGCGGCCCGGGGCACTTGCGCAAAGTGCCCACTGGGAAAGACGGATCTGTCCTGTGGTATTTATTATAAGAAGGATAGGCCGTAACCCACTACCTAGAAATGATTGTAGTGTGCTAAAGACTGTATCTGGTAGCCAGTACCAATTGCTTATAGCTCCTTTCACAAGTTACAAAGCTCGCTCGATGGCCGATGCTCAGCCATTGCGAAAGTTGTTTAACTTCGACGGTCGCAGGCATAACAATGCGACATCGAGCTTATCTTATTGATTAACAAGTCGAAATATTGCTTACCAAAGTAAGTATAACGTATCCAGGCATATAAGTCGCCCAACAGCCCAAAGCGGCGGTCGCGCAGACCACAAGCCCGGCCGCTAATAACGCCAGCGCTAGGTAGTAGAAAGGTGGCTGTTCCAACTCTTCTTCCGGAGACACCAGGAGAAGGGACAAAAGCACCCTTTGCGAGTCGCACAGTAACATGAACCCACATACCACTTTCAGGAAACCACTCACCTTAAAAACAAACGACTTCTGTAAATCACTCTCTCACAAACCTACCAAGTAAAATAATGTACAGCAACTATTTAGCAATATACTTTGATGCTCATTCAGGAATTAATAACTTACGAAAAATAAAGTGTTAAAAAACCCGAAGAGAGCTTTCGCACTTGTAATTTTTTTACAACAAGCCATCTTTACATTATATTAAAATGTTAATACCGGCATTAGCAAACGCGTGCTCTGTTGCGAGCATGTGAATAAACAACAAATGTGAATAGATTCACCGGTTTAAGGGAGATGCGCTCCGGTGAGCAGGTGGGGTGACTAATAATTAAGGCAGTTTTGTTTAAAATTAATGCTTCAGTTGCTTCCACACAAAATGTGTGAACGCGAGACCGCGCCGTTTTTACTTCAAGAGACAAATAAAAAAACAAATATGCATGAAAATAAATTTTAATTTTAAATTTTAACTTATAAAGATTATGGTGTATTGCATCTACCTAGAGTTTTAAAAATCTATGTCTTTCTTTTTAAAACCGCCACACGCATATGCCGTTGATGTAATATCGTCTTGCTCCCTTTCACTGCTTTCTTGTAGTTCTGAAATAATAAAATAGTGTGTTAAAAGCTATAAGAATCCCAGTATCAGCAGTGATTCTCAGATCTTTATACATACAATGCTGTAAAATGTGAGAATGTGATGCAGAAAAATAATTTACCTGGTGGTAAATGTAGTTTTTCAATAACAAACTTCTTTCTTTTCAATTTAAAAGCTAGGTCTAGACTTGGTGGTACATATGGAACCATACAATATACTGCACTCAATTTCGTTATGTGGAACAGGCCATGATAATCTTTGTATACTGGATTTGTTTCTTTGCTTGAACCCGTGAAAGATTCTAATTTCACAGAATTATCAACAGAATACAGGACCCTTTTCATTAAGTGTTCATCCTGAAAGCATAAATTGTTTTCAATATCAAAAATTTATTTATATTTATCAGATATGGCATGACAGCCTACAATTAAAAAAATGATTGTCAATAGGGCAGGCCCGATTTAGAGGTTGGAGGGTCCTGCGGCAACGAAGGAGTGGGCTTTTTTAATGAAATAAACAACTGGATGATCAGTTACCAATTTTATGGAGTCGATACACACCAGTACATTATGTTAGATCGTATTTAGAAAGTTGACAACTACCCTATTTGTTGTGGTGTCCTAAAAAGCTAATTTTTAGGATACCACAACACCAATGCAGCTGTTTCTGCAAACACCTTTAAAAGGTTAAGAAAAGTATCCATTGAAGGAGAATAATTAAAATAATTATGTCGCTGGTTTAATATTTCTCAAGTCAGGCTATATTGTCATGGACTTATAAAAAAAGGCGGACAGAGTCCCGGTAAACAATAAACTGTGTCGCTCAGAGTCGGCCAGGTCACAGTACGTACAAGCCGGCACGCACACATTCACACAATAGTCAGTCACTACGCGTGCAAACGTCAAAGCAGCCGCCACGTTACGTGGAGATAAAAAATAAGCTAAACAAGATATCTTGCTTGTAAAAAGGTGTAAAAACCGTAGTGACCGAAAGAAAAAAAATCCAGGAATCACGTTTCATAGGTAAATGAATAATTGAATCACTTTTTTCTAGTTTTTAGAAATCGAAACCAATTTTAATTCCAAGGACAAAATGATTAGTCTAAAGCCCAGTGTTGCCAATGTTCATGTAACCATATTACCTAAAATATAGGAAATTGGGTTGACATTAACTTCAATCTATTATTTATTATTCGTTTTTATCAGATTTCAGATTTAAAGAAAATGTAGTATGGATAAATTACTGGAAAATGAATGATTTCCAAACAAATATGTAGTAGTGTCATTTTAGTCTTCATTTTGAAGCTCAAGACTTATACAACTAAAGGACTCTGGCGTGTTATTACGTATGCATTGACGACCTCCGTGGCCGAGTGGTTTATACGCCGGGTTTCATGGCGTCGCCGACTCGAGAGGTCCCGGGTTCGAATCCCGGTGGGGGCAGATGTTTGTGTGATGAATACGAGCATTTGTACTCCAGCCATGGATGTTTAATATGTATTTCATATAAATATACTTATATATGTACAATATATGTATTCTATCCGTTACCCTAGTATCCCATAACACAAGCCTTTACAGTGCTTACTTTGGGGCTAGGCTAATTGGTGTGTTGTAAAAAAAAAAAAAAAGGTTGATTAAAATTTTTAACCGACTTCGAAAAGAAAGAGGTTCGCAATGCGTCATATTTGTTTTTTTTATTGTTGTTCGCGCAGATCTCCGAGCTTCGTGGACCGTTTATGATGATTCTTTTTTTGTTTTTATTTAGTTTACTAGCGAGATGGCTGCATATTAATTTACTAGAGATCTGATGAGTACTTTCAGAGGAAAACAATGGAACTCCTCAATTACAAACAGTACTCAATGGGTGTTAGTTTATTTTAAGAAATATGAAAGAGAATGCAGGCCAGGCCATCTATATTTAGTTGATTTACCCAATATTGAGAAAATTCGATACATTCTAGAATTTCTAATGAGCCCCGACTGTTAAAGTAACTTTGTTCCTTATTAAACAGAATTCTAGACTACTGGACTTGTTTTTTTCTTTTTAGTACATTTTTTTTTTTCGACATTTTAATTTCATTATTTTTTAATTACACGAGTTGTATATTTTCTAAATATTCTTTTAAAACCCTTCACTTTGATACCTCGCTTGACGGGTTATAAAATTTCTTATACTTTTTTTAAAATGTTTCATTTTGGCGAATAAAATCTGTTATTTTGATTTTTTGAAATTTTAATATACCGAGTGCCACTCACACAATCACGACAAATCAAATGACACCTCGCATGTCAAAATCCGTCAAGACGTTCAGGCTGTAGGGCGTGCCAAATTATTGGACATACATACATACATACGCTCGAAAAACATTATCCTGCGCAGTCGGGCAAATAGTAAAATTTTGAACAATCAAAATATTTTCATGTTTTTACTGTGTTTTATTGGTAAAAAATTGGCTAACCTAGCAACCCCACAATTCACTTACTCATCAATAGCCGCCGTCATTACTCAGTATTGTCTTAGCCGAAACTCTGTCCGCCTTTTTTTATACGTCCATTTATATTGTCATTAAAAAAATTGCTATGTGTAATAAATTTTTTTAATGACAATCTATTTACACATACTTCAAACAAATGTGATGGGACAGTAACAAATGCAGTTGCATTCTTATCTCTCAGCAAGATTCTTAAGCAGTACATGAATTTTATCAAGTCTTGACCATAATGATCAAGGCTGGCTTCTTCACAGTCTATCGACATCCATATTGGAGACCCCAGGGATTGTATACAAATTCTAAGGATATTTTTGTCTTTGCTTTTGCTGTTCTCATAATCTTTGATAATTTCCTTTATTCTTAATAATAGATTGGAGTAGAGACAGTTCCTGAAACCTAAAAAAACAATAATTTACAATTGATATTATGTTATGTTGAAATGTGACTGTTTGGTGTTGTTTCAAATTGGTATTATGCTATAGAAGTTACAAAAACGTAGTCTTCTATACTTTATCAAGTGAGAAGGAAAAATTTAGCATATTCCTGCTGCCTTTTGTTGCTTTAGCATGTACTTCATTCCAGAAAACATTAAAAAGAAAAAGCTGAAAGAAGCAGGGTTCCGAAACCCTTTCATGTCACAAGTCACATACCTATAATGATGAAATATGATAATCATATTTTATATTACCTATATTATGTATTACCAGATACTCTGGAGTGTTATGTTACTTATTTATTATTATCCATTTGTGTCACTATATTTTTTCATTTTACATAAAATTATTTAACACAAATACAAATAATATATTTTTCATTATTATTTCCAGCATAAACTACTCTTCAAGTACAAGCAAAACTTATGATTAAGTTAAAAATTAACATTTTACACTAAAATGGACAAAAGTGTAATTAAACATTTATTATATTACCCACAATGAGTTGAAAATGTGCACATTTAAAAGAATGTTTTTAATGTTATCTGGAATGAAGTTTAATAGACTATCAATATGCAGATCAGTTTTGAAAACTGTTGGGAAATGATGGGTTGATATTATAATTTTTTTTGGACCTAATGTCAATTAATAGTGCAGGAAGTTAGTTGTTATAGAAATATTGTTGACTAAAGTATATATTATCTGATGATGGACTGACATGAAGAGGAAGCATACAAATTTACCTTCAACATTACTCTCAGTGAAATCCACATAACAATATGAGATATCATTATTTTTTATTTTATCTACATCAATATGTTTGCTTAAATCAAAATGATGTCCGAAGCAAGTATTATTTCCAAATGAAGACTCCACTTGACTTAAACCCTCATATCTCCAAGCTATCTTCATTTTATCCATATTTTCAGTGATTTTTGTTATTTCACTATCTGGTGGAGATGTACATGGCTGTGGTAATTCCTTCAACTGAAAATCATTGTGATTTCTTTTATCATATTAATGATTAACAACTTGTTATAATCGAATACTAAAGTATTTAAGGTAATATGCTCAGATAAATAACATGATTTCTACTACCTGAATATATTTTGTACAATTGCTTCATATTTATTTTGTACTCTCTCATAGCAGTAAAACTTCTTTTCAATATAACTAACTAGTGCTAAGCAGAAAGCACCAGCAGGCATTTTGAAGCTAGCAAAAATGAACTGTAGACCAATTTACAGCATGATTGTGATCTCAGAAAGAGACCTGGTAATTTTTGGGATCAAACAGAATCAAACTTTAATGTGGGTTCATACAACAAATTTTCGCTTGCTTCAAAAATGCCTCCTGGTCACTTTCTGCTTAACAACACTCAATTCCGTGTTAATGACTATTTAAAAGACTTACTATTTCTTGTGGGTCATCATCTGCCGAAGCTATAAATAATGCATGATTACAAACAATTCCTTCAGCAAGATAATATTTGGTGAGTATCCTGCTGTAGTTGCCCAACAGATCTTCCTCTGAAAAATAATGTGATTTTAATATATGAAATTATTTTATTAACTTTGAATGCCTTGCCTTTTTTCTTGTTTCACATATATTATACACTTTCTTGAGTAAGTACTAAAAAAATATATTTGATAAAAGTTCTTAGAAAAAAATATGTACTAACCAACAACAAAAATAGCACCTGCAGGTAAACCACCCCCTGTAAGACAATAAAAATATATGCAATTGGTTATCGTAATATCTCGTAATTATTTATAACTAGGTTTATAGCAAAATAGCAGATTAGTAGGTATCTGCTTAGGTTACTCACCAATTAAGTGATCCAAAGAAGGTATACCTGATGATATATAAGCTAGATTATTTTTTAATTTTGTACCTTCTATGGTAACGCGACTATCGTTTAATTTATGAAAACTAGACATTTTAGTTTACTCAATCACAATAATAATAATACGAACACGTTTTTGATGTTTTGATGACTTTTTTGATACATAAAAACAACACTGTCAGTGTCAGCCACATATTAATGGATTAGATTTTTTATTTCCATGCTTTAAGGTATTAATTAGCCTGACTCATTGATGCAAGGGAATGTTTTTGTTATCAGATATTTAAGGGCTACGTTCTAAACTTCGGCTCCAAGTGCAACTTTTTACCCTGACGTTTATAGGTATTTAATATCGTGTTGGTTGCTACTAGTTATATGTCTGTGGTTGGTTGTTAGCAAAGACTTTAGGTATTATATAAAGTCTATGGGTGCGGCCAGAGTGCACTCAGATTCAGATTCAGATTCCGAAAACAAGCGCGAGAAATAAACAGTGTAGTCGAAGGGTACGGCCAGAGTGCACTCAGATTCAGATTCAGATTCCGAAAACAAGCGCGAGAAATAAACAGTGTAGTCGAAGGGTACGGCCAGATTGCACTCCTGATTCAGATTCAGATTCAGACTCAGAAAACAAAGCGCGAGAAAAAGCAGGCAACCTGCTTAGACTGCACTGTTTATTTCTCGCGCTTGTTTTCAGAATCTGAATCTGAATCTGAGTGCACTCTGGCCGCACCCTTTGGTTGTTAGAGTTAATTTCAACTTTGTCAATTGTTGCACCCAGAGCGTAGGTTTTGAACGTAACCAAGAGAGTAGCCAAAGCATTTTTTTTAAACTTTTACGGCCGTGAATTTCTCTATTTCGGCCATTCATTAGTTAAATTCATCATTTTAAATGTATTCGTACATATTCATTACATACTCAAATAATATATGATATGTATTATTGTTTTGTATGGTAGATGGCAATTGGCTGGGCATTCTGCAGTTATTGTATATCTCTATTAAGCCATCTATCAATAAGATTCTCTTAGCCAAAGCAAACTAGTGATAGTGAAGCGATTATACTCGTAATCGGTAAATAAATTAAATATTAAGTCTGATTCTGGCAGAATATTCTTAATTTAAATTGGACGTCAGTATTTTTCTTATTAGGTATTCTGAAACGTGTTCTAAATATCATATTTTCTTTAAAATTAGAAATGTCACACTAAATTTAAGAAAGACCTACGGAGGTCCTCTCTAAATTTAAATGTGAATAATTGGGGCCAATAAAAGTAAATGATTGCTATTGATAAGTTTTAAACTTATTGTTAGGGGGCGTCCATAAATTACGTGAGGTGTTTTTTTGATTTTTCTGTCCCTCCCTCCCCCCCCTGGTGAGATGTCGTGAGATTTTTTTCAACCCCCTCCCCCATCCCCCAATCTCACGTGAGATCTTTTAAAATGTGGGTTTCTTACTTAAATGCGTTATTGTTATTGTTAAGAGAAAAAAAAATGCTTCGTGCTTTTATTTACGACTAGTTAAGACTAGTAATCAATATTGCTGAGAGTTATTTCTTTCGAACTAAATAGTGAATGATCTTAATCGTATTACGATTACGCTTAAGATAAAATTTTAAGCATGTGCAATCTGGATTAAATGGACCAAAATAGTATATTTTTTTTTGTTTCAATCAGAAAAAAAATTGCGTGATATTTGACTCGACCCCCCCTCTCTCCAACGTAAGATTAGATGAGATTTGACTCGACCCCCTCCCCCCCTTAAACATCTCACGTAATTTATGGACGCCCCCTTAGGGTTTGATATGGGTTTGGTTGGTTAAAAAAGTTATAAATAATTAATCAAATACGACGTTGATAATAATAAGTGGAAAGGTTCATTTACTGAATAGGCTAGTTGACTCATGTCGAATTGTATTAAATAAATGTTTATTTCTTAAAGTATTTGGTCTAGGGAACCTAAATATATCGATTTCACTTCATAAAAGCAGAAGATTGCTGTAGAAATTTAATTTGAAAAAATAATTTTTAGTCTATACTTTTTAAATACTAAAAACGCTGTTCACCACATCCGCCATGATTGTGACGTCTCTTTTAGTAAACAACTAAATGTCATTCATACATAACTTTAAAACTTGTATTATTAAAACTGATAATAAATGAAGAGACTTAAAATATTATTCAATGAATACTTACATCAAAGTGATCTTCGCAAAAATAAATTTTACTATGAGTCGATAAAGTTGCAGGATCACTTTTAGCAAGTTCTAACCAGGTATTGCGTAGGTTAATTTCTTTCGGCACTTTAATCCACAACTTTCCTGAAGTCTTCAAGGTTTTTGAAGTTATACTTCTTTAGGCGCGTTATAAAAAAATTATGAGAGTGAAATTTTAAGATGCGCGCGCATCTGTAACACAAAAAATTAACACCATTTCATGTGCCGCGCTGCCATTACCGCGTCGCCCGCCGCACCGTACGCATGCACGGCCACTCGCGGTCCTAGCGCGGGAAACACGTACAACAAACATCGGGAAAAGTTACGAGTTTTGAATTTAGAACAGAGACTGTTTTCATATCTATATATATAAAAATGAAACCCGTTTTCCGTTGTCACGACATAACATGAAAACGGCTTGACCGATTTGGCTGGTTTTTTTTTGTAGTTTTCTAATACTCTGTACAAGGTTCTTACGGAAAAAAATATAAAGAAAATCCCAAGGGGATAAAATAAGGAATGAAAGTTTGTATGAAACTTTAGCAATTTTAAACCGATCGGGCTGAGACTTTGCATGCAGGTATAAGAAGAATCATAGATGAATGTCATTGTGTATAATACAAGCCTGAGAACAAAAACTGTAGTCTACACTTCAGCTCTACACCGAAGCGAAGCGAGGGCGGGCCGCTAGTTTATAATATTTATCCACATGTTTCTAGTTTGTATATTCGGAATACGTGTTTGAGTTTCATACAAGTGCAAATCACATATGTTCTAATAAATTATATTCAGTAGCGATTTTAATTGAATATTTTGATTATTTATTTATTTTTTCAAATTAAAACTGAACTTTATTGACTGTGTCCTTTTCCAGACTTTTTATTAATTTATTGTAATTAATTATTTGCATGCAATTAAAAACTAATTTTAAACGATGCCAAAGAAGGATAACTTCTCACGCGCCTACATAAGTACACGCACCCATTTTTTTTTTGAAGTTATACTTCTTTAGGCGCGTTATGAAAAAATGATGAGAGTGAAATTTTAAGATGCGCGCGCATCACTGTAACACAAAATTTTAACATAATGAAGTTGGTCGCTTTCATGCGTTACTTTTGTGTTTACCGCACATTAAGAAAATCTACCAACAAAATAGAAATAGAATCTCTATTTAGTGGGTGCTAACGACTGCATTGTGAAGGCCTATCAAAAGTATTTATTAATCTGGAACAACGGAACCAAAGCGCGATTCAGGAGACTACAGCGCCATCTCTTGACCATTGGTGTAGTAGAACCAAAAACCACATCTTTATTTTTTGTAATAAAGTAACAAAAAGTATTTATTAATCTGGAACAACGGAACCAAAGCGCGATTCAGGAGACTACAGCGCCATCTCTTGACCATTGGTGTAGTAGAACCAAAAACCACATCTTTATTTTTTGTAATATTAAAATATTTATCCACATGTTTCTGGTTTGTATATTCGGAATACGTGTTTGAGTTTCATACAAGTGCAAATCACATATGTTCTAATAAATTATATTCAGTAGCGATTTTAATTGAATATTTTGATTATTTATTTATTTTTTCAAATTAAAACTGAACTTTATTGACTTCGTTCTTTTCCAGACTTTTTATTAATTTATTGTAATTAATTATTTGCATGCAATTAAAAACTAATTTTAAACGATGCCAAAGAAGGATAACTTCTCACGCGCCTACATAAGTACACGCACCCATTTTTTTTACATTCTCGTACAATACAATAATGATAATAACTATATTTTTCGTGGTATCTATTAGAAATCATGTTTTTTTTATTATAAACTCAGATAAGTTATTTTCTACGTGCTTACGAGTTTTTGTTTACTACCGTCGACGTCATAGCATAGATAATCTATAGACTAAAATGACCGACAGCGTTTTTGTATGTCCATGAAAAGTCTATTTTAAAATTGAAGATTTGTAGCTTTCTAGGTCTCAAAAAAATACAATACATATTTTTTCGGTCTAATAGAACATTTATTAACCATTTAAAACCTTTTTCCAAAAAGGGTCAACTAGCCTATTGTTTGCCTCGAGAACTTTTTTTCTATAATTTGATTGTTTTAATTACGTGGTTTTGTTTTTCTAAATCTACTTAATGGTGTCAGTGATATGCATTCCAATCACGAATTCCAATCCAAATGTTATTTTGACTTTAAATGTAGGTACTTTAGACTTTAATGTATTGTTTATTCCTTTCTTTTTAGTGGTTTTGTTTTTATGAAGCAGTTTTATGATATTTGTTAGAAATGTTTTTATTTACCACTTTTTATAAGCTAATTATATTTCTTAAAATAACTAAATACGAACTAAGTTCCTGCTGTTTGCCATTGAGAAGTTTGTTTTTGTATTATGCGAAAGTACTTGTCATCTTCACCAAATGAATTATTGAGATTTGGGACCATCTCGCTAAAATCTGATTGAAAGAAAAAAAAAATAGATTACGCATCTCGCATTATATAATAAATGAGAACAAAAGCTTCATAAAACAGTCGAGGGGATAATAACAACCACTTATCGCAATCTAAATTTATAACCGTAGGTATTAGATAGATGCGCTGGATTGCGAATTTACGATGCGAGACATTTTCAAAGATGATTCACGCTAGACCGTGGTAGCTTTCCAATTACAGCATTATAGCGCATTATGCGGCATAATGCTTAACGTTGAGTGTTCCAACTACAGCAACGCTTCGCACAATTGAGCACTCTCAAAAGTGATGCTTTCGTGTGATGCGTGCAATCGTACCAACTTAGAGACAGAATATTAACAAGTGTTTTTTCTTTAAGTTGGCATTGATCGAAATGTTTTATTTATTATGTTATCGTTAGTAATATTATTATTTATTGTTGAAAAATTATTAAAACTTTCGTTTCATCATAGTTTTTTTTAAATAATCAAAGTTAATTCAAACTGTGTTAAAAATTAAATATAAATATGGATGAAGGTACAAACATTGACTTTTTTTTCAACACTGAACTTAGCGCACTCTGCTGGTGCATTTGAAAACTAATTCACGTTCCAATTAAGCATCAGCATAATTCGGCATTGTGCGGCACTGAGTCGCATTATGCTCTGTAATTGGAAAGGAAGGCGTATCTGCCGTTGCAGAGTTAACTAATATAAAATAATATATTTTACATGGATTATGGACACATTCACACTATTCCCGGCGGTAACCGACTGACAACCGAGCTGAAGTATCACTACGATTGCCCGGCAATCGTAGTGATACTTCAGATACCGCAGGTAAACATCCATCTGCACTTTCGGTTTCATTATTTGTGTTCGGTGTTTATTTTACAAGCGTGTACAGGACCCTTGAGAATGCGTTCAAAACATATGCACTTCACATAACTACTCGTGTTTGCTATTTCTTACTGTGACGGCAGGTTGTCCTTTTGAAACTCTATAGGGTAGAGCGTTATTAGAGACTGGGGACAGGTTTGCAAATAGCGATTACGAATAACCATACATGTGTTGGCATCATAATCGGTATTTCATCTCAATCATTGCCTAGAGCATATCTATGCTCCATTGATATAGACATCATCGTAGACAGAGTTTGTCTACGGCTCCGGAGACTCCGGACATTACACAGCACCAAGAAGCTTATATACAACACTGGAGATTGCAGTGCAAACAATACCTTGAAGTGAAAAAATATGGCCTTGAATGACGTCACATATGTTTGTTATCTCTTTCTAAGGGTGACCATGTTGGAATATACGTTTAGGATACATACTTACTGGTATCGTCTTTAAACAATTTATAAATCAAAGCGTTGGAGTTGATAGGAACTTGGGAACACATTATTTAATAGTAATAAAATTCACAAGTACAAAAATCATTTTATTCATATTAGATGCGTTTTATATTATGCAATGTCAAAAACGTTTATAAAAAAATTAAAAGAATATGCAAACCCTTTTTAAAATCGCCAGAAATGCCTTTTACTAAGAACGGACTAGAAACTCTAAGCTACATATTTTGGCTGATAAATAAAATTGACCTTTTAATGGTATTGTTAGGTGTTGGGATACGGTTCGAAATTATATGCCAGTTCACGATTGACAGTTCTTTATTCACCACACAGTTCACACAATTAACAGACAATACAAAACACTCACTAAACACTGTATTTCACTATACAAGTCTCTATACAATCTCACTTGAACACTTTTGTTGCACTTTGATCGCCTTTGGATTCGCTCCGAAATCGCTGTTGAAACTCAACTGTCTCTGCGCGGCGCCAATCGCCCTTATATACGCCGATCGATGCATTCTAGAAAGTAAATAAATAAATAAATATTTCCAACTAGTCTAGCCAAAGTAAGCACTATAAGGCTTGTGTTATGGGATACTAGGGTAACGGATAGAATACATAAACTGTACATATATAAGTATATTTTTTTTTATAGAAATACATATTAAACATCCATGACTGGAGTACAAATGCTCGTATTCATCACACAAACATCTGTCCCCATCGGGATTTGAACCCGGGACTTCTCAAGTCGGCGACACCATAAAACCCGGCGTACAAACCACTCGACCACGGAGGTCGTCGAAAGTTGAAGTTCTAGAAAGTACCTGTTAAATTGAGAATTACCTAGCACCCGCGAGTACGAAATACCTACTTAAACGTACGCAAGTAACACGCATAACTTGTAAACAAGTGCAGATATCGTTGCACTTTCTCCTTTACGACGCACTGCATAAGGCTCATTCTAGAATGAGCCGCCTTACTCGACTTCTATTGCGACCCGCGGTGCTCTGGCAAATTCGATCTCTAGCACATTCGCGGTTCCGTTTCGATAGCGTTTGTGACAGTATAATGGACAACCAAGAATTTCTTTAAATGACATCTTTCGGGAAGCTGAAACATAAACAAATGTATAAGACCGCTGCTAGATAGCTGTTATTAAATAGGTTTTCTACATCTAATCAACATGATCTACTACAGTATTTATTATAAACTTATTTTCATATTTTGAACTTTGTAATTAATATTTACAATAATACTTATGTATTTTAACTTTCTCAAAATATCTCAAGTGTAGTGATAATGGTTACCCTACAAAACCAACATTTATATTATTTTAATTTAATAAACTGCTGAATATGGTACGAAATGTAGTGAATAAAACAAGAATAACGTTAATTTATAGCCTCAGGACACTATGATTTATAAATACTAACGTTTTATTATGATTACAACATAAAAATATAGGAATATGTTTATTTCGGTATTGGCGTAATGTAATAGACTTACCTGTGAAATTTAGTGCTGGAATTTGGTTCCCAAACACTTCTGCAATCTCGCACAACACCATACATATTATAAATAGCAAATTGAACAATTTAACACTTTTTAATAATAATCTAAACATTCGAAGCGGTAGATTTTTTTTGACAGATCGGAGATATTCTTCAGTTGATTTTTTAATTAGTGTTGCTATTATACCAAAATGGTAGCAACCAGCAAACAGGGAAATAAAGGGCGTATTTATTATTCAGTTTTAAATATTGATTTCAAAGTAGTTGGTTAGAATTTGTCACACTCATCTTATAATAGTAATACAAGAGTAGGACTTCTGGAGATTGTAAAACTGATTGATATCTTGCATAGTTCTGTTTATTTTCACTTTGTGATTGGAATTTCTTGTATGTTAAATTTTAGATAGTGTGTGAGAGTGATAAAAAACATATCATGGGGTTAATGAACTCATTTTCATACAGAAGTTCTACATGCAATCTCCAGTGTTGTATATAAGCTTCTTGCACAGCACTTATCACTCACGCACAACTGCCAAAAGTGTTAGCTTTCTCTGTGCTTGCGAGTTTTTGGCGGGATTTCATCGAGTGTGGTTTGCGTCTTATTTTAATTATTCTTAAATTCGTTCATAGTGGATATTGTGAAATAAAATTGATGTGATTTTGTGTTACAACTGCCTGCGTAAGGGTACGGCCAGAGTGCACTCAGATTCAGATTCAGATTCCGAAAACAAGCGTGAGAAATAAACAGTGTAGTCGAAGGGTACGGCCAGAGTGCACTCCTGATTCAGATTCAGATTCAGACTCAGAAAACAAAGCGCGAAAAAAGCAGGCAACCTGCTTAGACTACACTGTTTATTTCTCGCGCTTGTTTTCGGAATCTGAATCTGAATCTGAATCTGAGTGCACTCTGGCCGTACCCTAACTGAAGAATTAGTAGAATCGTCAAAATATACGCTATTACGGTTAAGTGGACGTGAGTTTATAGAGATAGTATTGATGTCGATTCTGGCATGATTCTCTAAAGCTAAACTTAAATTTGACAACAGTGCATCCCTATCATTCTCTATACAGAATGAAAAGGAGAGGCTGATGTTAAATTTACTTTTAAGTTTAGAGAATCACGCCAGAATCGACACCATTGACTACCTGACAGAAGCTTATCGAAAAAGCCAGCTTGATATATTTCGTGCCAAACACTTCAAGAAACATTAGAATGCGTCACACCAACATTCTAATGTAAAAAAAAACCAGAATAATATAACTTAAGACTAGGCTGTATGGGCATTGTTTCCTTTGCCTTACCTGAAAAGGGAGAACTTAACCAAAAAAAATCTCTGTGCTTGCTCTGCTTTGACAATCTTGACATTGGCTGAACGCACAAACCGTGCATGCCATAAAAAAAGAAAAAGTCTGCTCTCAGCTCTGTGGTATTCGTGTTATGCTGGCTATTTTTGAGGCACATGTTTTCTTGTAATTTAAAAGTTATCTGAACAAATTTATTACGATTGTTAAAATAAATATTAACCATGCAAGGCCCAGCAGTATTTATGGATATATCGCTTGAAGATCAAGTACGTTTACGAATAACCTTTCTCTAACCTATACACAGTTATCAATATATTAACTTTAATTATTAAAATATGCACGTTGTTATGTTTAACTTGTTAGATATTTTAGACCAATTACAAAACAAATAATTTGTTATTTATTAAAAACAAGTACACTTTTGTATAACACTAGAAAGTGTTAGTTCAACTTTGGTTTTAGAGGCGATATAATAGTAGCTTTCTGAATTTCGTTTTATTATGCTATGCAACCAGATTATGTGCATTTATTCTCATCTTTTCTTTTTAATTATTTTTAGGCATTAGAACTTCGCAAATATTTCAAAAGTCTTGGAGCTGAAATTTCTGAAGAAAAATCTCCAAAAGGAATTGAAGACGATCTTCATAAGATAGTTGGTGTATGTGATGTGTGCTTCAAGGAACCAAATGAGTCTGATATCGAAGCTATTCTAAACAGTATTGTCTCCATAATGGTTTCAGTGAGTGCATTATACCTAAAAAGAACAAAAACCTTTTCTAATTAGATATTGACAAATGTTTTTTTTAATTTGCAGATTCCATTGGAGAGGGGTGAAAATCTTATTCTTGCTTTCAGCCAAAGGCTCACAAAAGCCCCAGGACCAAGGCTGGGAATGGTAGCTTTACAGTCGTAAGTAACAAGTTCTGTTAGCTCAGTTTTGTTTCAAAACAGGATAATAGGGGTTTTTATTTTTAATGAAAACTTATTTCAATCTTAAGATTTATGAAACAGGATACTAGGGGTATTTTATTTTTAATGTAAACATCTTATTTTGATCTAAAGATTTATTTGTTAATAAAATCTACTAGTTAAATGTTTAAAAAATAAAAATATCAACATCTTATTTTGCAGTTTATGGCGCTTATATAACAATCTTGAAGCTAATTCACCTCTTCGTTACCACGTGTACTACCATGTTATTGAGCTGGCTGCACGTGTTGGCTCAGTTCGAGAAGTGTTTACAGGTGTTGAACAGTTGAGAAGAGAGTTCACAAACTGCCCACCCTCCAATGAGCAGATGCAGAAACTATACAGATTATTGCATCAGGTGTTAAAAGATCAAAATAGGTTGGTGCTCTTTTTGATTCATAACTACTTAGCAACTGGACTGTTGCTTGTCAGTGCTAAATGCTTTTGTTTTAAAGTAATATTTAAATTTTAAGTATTTCTCAACCAAGTTTGTACCTTAAAATTAAATTTTCATTATTATTCATCTGCTTTGTTTCCTATTTAACAATAATTATCCACTTCCAAAACGGAAATGAATATTTTATTACTAATAATAAAAAAAATTACCTCTAATAAAGAAAATGTATTTGTCTATGCATAATTTTATTTGCAGTGAACTGGCTTCCAAAGTAATGATAGAGTTGTTGGGTACATACACTGATGAAAATGCTTCATATGCACGTGAGGATGCTATTAAATGTATTGTGACAGCTTTGGCTGATCCTACCTCATTCCTACTGGATCCACTATTATCATTGAAACCAGTAAGATTCCTTGAGGGAGAATTAATACATGACCTACTTACCATTTTTGTTTCGGAAAAGTTGTCCAGTTATCAAACCTTTTACAATAATCACAAGGAGTTTGTTCAGAGTCAAGGTAAGACTTTTTTGGTGATGATGTTATAGTAACTGATATATGCATGTAAATGAAAACCTTAACTTAAAAACATTTGTAAAATTAGCAGCAGGACTACAATACAGTAATAAGCATGATAATAACTTATGACTATTGTTAAATACTGACTTAAAAATAGTAAAAGATCACCTTTAATACAAATGCTAACCTAATCCTCCTTTTTGAATTTTTTGTAAAGAATATTGTCTTACATTTTTCATTATCAATGTCGCAGGTTTGAATCATGAACAAAATATTAAGAAAATGAGGATACTATCGTTCATGCAGATGGCAGAAACCAATCCTGAAATAACATTTGATGAAATTACATCAGAACTGCAAATCGAAGAAAAAGATGTTGAAGCGTTTATTATTGAAGGCAAGTATTACATCCACTTGCACCATTGATAATATTAAAGCTTGAATTTGATTTAATTTATAAGAGAGGTAGCAATTGAAGCGCCCATCTGGGGAAGTAACCTTCATCTTACAGAAGACAATAGTAAAATAATGATACCTTTCGGGGGTGTTGTGTTTCTGTTGTTGACTAATGTTCCAGTTCTCCCCGGGTAGGGGTTGAGGTCAAAGTAGACAATGATGAGAGTGATATTTTTTGGTATTGCAAGTTTCTATAAGCTGCTGTGGGCCCCTTAGCATCAGACAAGTTACGATTGTTTGCCACCCCTTTTTCACATTCTATTTTGCGTAAATTGCATGAAATAGGAAATTGAATTGAAATTGAAACATTCAATTTCCTTCAGCAATTTTAAAAGTCCCTCTGAAGAGTGCCAATCAATGAAAATCGTACATTACCATTACTCATAATTCTGTTTGTTCAGTTAAAAGTGTTTTAACTCGATTTAGATCAATATTTTTTTATTAGTTATTATGAATCTACGAAAAATTTGCTATTTTTGTATCTAATTGGTATGTTTCTATTCCATATAGAAGAGAAAATAATTTTGTGCTAAATAGTATAAGAAAAGCTTTGTGCCATTTTTAGTTTTTTTGTATCTAGAGATACAGGTCTACTCATAACAAAGTGAACCAGGATCATTATTTTATTGTGACAAAAGATATAACTTGTGTTTATACATTTTACACTATTGAATTTATATATAGAATTTGTGTTTAATAATACAAGAAGATTAATATCAATATACACAAAAAACCTATGTATTTATTGGTTGGTGAACTTAATTTACAGCACAAAAGGTGAAGATCATAATTATTTATTTTATGTATAATGATATATTTAGACTTATTTAACCACAATAAAGTTTATAAAAGCGTAAAACGATATAATGATTCCTCAAACAGATATTAGTAATGTTTGTGTACAAGTTTTTTTAAAAGTGTAGAAACAAAAAATATCTACTGAATAATAACATAAGATGTATCAGTTTACACTTTTACAGTTTACAGTGGAGGAAAATAATTTAGGTTCCATTATATCACTATATACCAATACAAAGTTTCGTGCTAAGTGATTTAACTGGGTTAATTATTTAATTTAAAAGAAACAGCATACATTATTTCCAAAACTAGTAAACTACCTGATTATTTTTAATGCTGTCTTTTACCAAATAATAATAAAAAAAATCGGGTTATCTCCAATATAACCACATAGCAGGATGTTTTTTACTTCAAATGCGATTTCCCAAAACTCGCTATTTTCGAGTTAGATCACTTTTCTTTGAATGTACAGAATTTATCATATAAGAAAACAACTGCCAATTATATTTTTTTATAGAACTCATAAGGATGGCTTTATTTGTGATAAGCCTTCAATATACTCTCCTCTATCACTTGAGTAAAACCAGTAAACTTATAAGTTTGTTTAGGCCAAGGCCTTTATCTGAAATGAACATTGATGCAATCACACAGAGGAGGTGCTCTGGATTTACATTATAAATTTTTATTTGAAATTTAATTTGCAAAAGTCGCATAAGGGGCCGTTCAAGTATTACGTAAGCAGATTTATTACAATTATTTACCCCCCCTCCTCCCCCTTGTCAGCAAAAGTAAGCAAAGCTCTTACTCGTGCTTACGTAAACATTGGTACCTATGCATTTTTCCTTTAATGTATTGTGAGTTTTTTATTCATTCATGAGCTTTCATGAGCTTCATGAGCAGCCATACTTAAATAGGCTTAGGATAGAGGACTTTATCGCACATAATTTTCATTGAAACAAACTTTATTGACACAGTATTCAACATTGAGTAAGGTCCTATTACGAACAAAACCAACTTCTTTCGAATTTTTGGTATATGTATACAATCTTCAGTCCATGACACCCGAATCCATGATGCTGACGTAATCATTATCTCGACCCCCCACCCCCCATGTCATCAAAAATAAGCAACGCAAAGACCCCCCTGCCCCCCTATAGTGCTTACGTAATACTTGAACGGCCCCTAAGCTATTGAAATAGAATTAGGGAGATTGAGCCATAACCCACTGCACTGGTCCAGTGCGTTAGTACCCACTAACGACTGCAGCCCCTCTAGCATGACCACCGAAATGGGATATGATAAAGCGATATATCGGCATTAACTGTCATACTACAGAGGACAGGAGGACAGTAGTCTGACAGTTAATGCTGATATATCGCTTTATCATATCCCGTTTCGGTGGTCATGCTAGAGGGGCAGATGCACCCGGGACCGACGGCTTGACGTGCCTTCCGAAGCTTGGAGTAGCTCGACATAATAAGTTTTTGGTCACCCATCCAATGACCCACCATGGCAGAAGTTGATTAACTTCCTCGATCGCGCCAACCTTCTGCGTCATCGGGCTTCTAACAATTATATATTACCTAGTCAAATTATACTCATTCCATTTGCAGTTCTCAAAACGAAACTGGTACGCGCGCGTATGGACCAAGCTCTCCGCGTAGTTCGCGTTTCAAGTACGATGCATCGTACTTTCGGTCGCGCGCAATGGCTCCAGTTACGCGACGTATTGCGCGCCTGGCGAACCAACGTTCAATCCGCTCATGAATCCATGGAGGGAGTGACTGCTGCCCAGCAAGAATACGCCGCACAGCAGAAGGCGTAGTCCTTTCAAACTTTATGACGGCTGTGAAGTTAGCAGCAAGTGAATTAGGGTATTTGACAAATTTGAAAACGATCTTACGTTATTTATTAATGTTTATGGACTGCATAACAAGACTGCTTAATAATACATACATTATTCATCATCCTGTTACGTGTTTCAGAAAAAAAAACCGAAATCTAAAATTCTGCTTTCAGATATGCTGTTGAAAGTTTATCTGTGTAGTATGGCGTGTTTATAGCATATGCCCATCTTTTAAATTTGGCTCACTAACCTTTATCCTCAAATTAACGCTTTAGCTGTGACATAACTGTAATAGCTAGACATATGGTATCCCGGACTTTTTTGTAGATATTGATGTCCTCTATATAACTTTAGTACATCACTTTGCTCTGTTGTCAACGACTTCCGCAGCGTAAGCGATATAAGGTTATTTAGTATTTTTTTCACATCCTGGGCTCTGTTATCAAAGTTTTCATACGGAACCCTAACTTTTTTGAAAATAATCTATAATCTATATGTTCATCAGGGATAATGTAGGATTCTAACGTGAAAGAATTTTTCAAATTGGTCCAGTAGGTAGTTTTAGAGCCTATTAAATACAAACAAATCTTTCCTCTTTATAATATTAGTATAGACTAGTGGCCCGCCCTCGCTTCGCTTCGGTGTAGAGCTGTAGTGTAAACTATAGTTTTTGTTCTCAGGCTTGTGCTATAAAGAATGACTTTATTTATATAATTACACGTGTTATTGTGAATCAACCATAAAAGATAGACATATGCTGTTGCGGGATATTTTTTAGACAATTTTATGTAGAATATTTCCGTCATACATGATTTCTATGTAACTTTAACCATTAAGGCTGCACCCGCGACGGAAGCTTAAAAAATGGAGTAACTTCTCCCGTTTTCCCAACATTTCCCTTCACTACTCTGCTGCTATTGATTGTAGCGTGATGAAAAGTATACTATAACCTGCCCAGGAGTATGAAGAATAATTTTACCAAGTTTCGTTAAAATCCGTTGAGTAGTTTTTGTTTCTATAAGGAACATACACACAGACAGACAAAAAATTTACTGATTGCATTTTTGGCATCAGTATCGATCACTAATCACCCCCTGATAGTTATTTAAAAAATATATTTCATGTACAGAATTGACATCTCTACAGATTTATTATAAGTATAGATATAGATAATATTGTCAAATACCCTATTATGCGCTGGTTTCAGTTCAGTGCGCGCGCCTTCATCATCCTACATTTCTTTTATCGCGCTCCCGTTAACTTCTCAGTCGCCATTAAGAGTGAATCGCATTCTACCCGCATTTGTGCTCACCGTGAGTGCTGAGTGAGACTTGTTAACTTACCCGATCGCGCTTACGTACGGTCCGACTATAGTTGTAAATAAACAGATTTTTAAGCAAAAGCCGTGGTTTAAAACGGGTTGGTTTTTTAAGCTCTTTTGTCTGATTACACAGTTTTAAACTACGAATATTTATTACACACTTATGGACCATTCCAAAAGGTCACAAATAAAGCCATGCTATAAAGTTATTTACTTGAATAATAAAGGTCAGTAATACAGACGGGATCTTAAAACAAAGCCAGCCTTTTTAAAGTGTTGATCCATCACATATTTTTTTTAATATAAAATCACATTAAGTATTCAGATTAGCACTCTGTACACTTACGCAAAGTCGATCGGGTAAGTTACAGATTTTCTTTACTCTGTCAGTAAATCAGTTCCGAAGCTTCGTGAATGATCACATGATTGGACTATACTGTAATTCAAATGCGGGTTTACATTTGTAATTATATATCATTTATGACAATAACGAATGTTTTATTTTCTGTATTTAATGAAAGTAGCAATATTTTATTTTGAGGCAATAGTAGTAACCTATTTTCTAGATATCGTATTGCAAAACGCGTATAAACTACGGATACAGGCAGTACACACTGAAACTTGACGCAACGCGTATAGGTATCGGCAAAATTCTTGAGCAAAACGAAGGACCAGCGATATTCAATACGCTAGATAAAACAACACGAACAAAATCGTGTCCGAAACCTGTCCAAAAGGTACATTGGACGATCCGGTGCTCCGTAACATGATTGCGTAGTCAAATCAATATACGGTATTATTTAAACATTGAATGGCGTCGATTCTGACAGGATTCTCTAAACTTAAAACTAAATTTAACATTAGTATGTCCTTCTCATTCTGTATAGAGAATGACAGGGATACACTATTATCCAATTTAAGTTTAGCTTTAGAGAATTATGCCAGAATCGACACCATCTTTGCTTCAAATGCGTTAAATTAACAAACATTGATTAGATACCTGTCGAAAAATCGACAGTTTACGTACTATAAGTATTTTTTTCGCAGTTGTCACGGAGCTCTGCGGCCTCTTGACTTTTCAACGATCCGCGCGTGACAGTGAATCAAGAAGTGCTTGAGTGGTATTCAAGTACGTCTTGATTGGGACATTTTGAGCGCACGTGGTGTATATAGTGTATTTATTATCGTTGCCATAAACAAATAAACTTGCGCAGTAGATGTTTTTGTTTGTAAAAATGCTACTGCGCAGGCTTCCTTGTCTAAGTTGCTCAAGAAGTTTGCTGAGGTGTTTACTCCTAAAAACAACGATACAAAACAAAACCCTATTACCTACGCAAAAAAACACACACACACACATTACTGCCACGCTGCAGGAGCGTGGTGTTACGCAGCGCAAGTAATGTGTAACTTTTTGCGCAGGAAATAAACTTCTCTTCTTTATCTTTTTCTTGACAAGACTAGTTCGCGTTGTTAGATATATAGTTAAATGTACCTAAAATACTCTAGTAGTTAAAAGTAAAGCCGGTTTTCAACCGTCAAAGAGGAATAAACTATGAATGTATAGCGGAGGCGTCTTCTTGTACATAAAGTAGGATTGCTTTTCCACCTATAAAAAGTTCGGGAGTATTGATTTCTACTGCCAAACCGGAATGAGCGAAAGAAAAGAGCTGAGCGAGATGGTCTGGGTCTAGGTTCATTTCGCATTTTCAGTTCATTCCTTTTTGGTGGTGGAAAACTTGCTTTAGGGTTTATATACATGAGAGGCTAGCAGTCGAAGGCAGCGCAGTTGTAGCCGACGTCAAGACGATGGCTGCTCGAAGAGTCAAAGGCTGCCGACGTGGCTGTTGTCGACAGGCGGTTACCGTCGTAACTATGCTTTTAGAGCAGAAATAGAATCACTAAACCTATAATACCTACTACAAAATGTGTCTACAAATGTGTGTGTGTGAGGTGAAATCATAGGTCCATGGCCATAGTAACGATCATTGCCTCTGTGCTGTGCTGTAAACTGACACTGACAAAGAGTTAATACAACACGTCTAAATCCAGATCAAATGAGAAGTAAAGGCGATTTGTAAAAAACAAGCCATTTAAAGAAATAGAACAAAACAGAATAATATTATTGTGATGGATTATGAGGACGACAACGGCGGCGGATGCCTCCGGAACGCGTTCAGGTCGTTTGTGTGCATGTCTTTGACCTTGTTGTTGGGGCTGCACGTGTACGCGTACTTCTGGGGCCCGTCGCGAGACGCTCTTGACGGAGACTTCTCCGACGTGCGGTATGTGGTGACGCAGCTCACCCGCGGACTCACGGAGGTATGCCTGCCTAGCATTTACACCGCAACATACATGATAATAGTATCCGGGGCCGGATTAAGAGGTGTGGGGGCCCGGGGCATCTTAACTATATGCGGCGCCCGGATGCGAAAGCCAATAATGCGCCCCCTTTTTCAAAAAGTTTGACAAATTAATTTTTCATTGTATGGACTGCTACAAAAATATAGAAGAAATAAATCACATAGAAAAGCAAGCATACGTATCTATGTATATGTATGTGTGTATTATAGTTTGACCGAGTTGACTATGAAAACGTAAATAATCATTAAAAGTGACTGTATGTACCTACTTAAATCGTAAGTTTTAATTTTGTTTTTCAACATTTATTTAAAGTAATATTTATAAAACTGTAGTTGGGTAAGGTAAGTAGGTAGGTAGGTACCTACTATCTACCACCAGATTCATTCAGATGTTGATCGCCCGGCCCGGCTGGCGCCCCTTAGGGCCCGGCGTCCGGGTGTGGCGGCACCCAGCGCTCCTATGGGAAAGACGCGCCTGGTGGTGCCCTGGGGTAAGAAGGGAGCGGAGACTTACATCTGGGACTACTAACGATTTGCACCGTGCCCTTGGGCGCCGGTCCTGATAGTATATATAACGTTTTTATCAAGCTCAATTGTCAAAGTTATAGAAGACGTGATTAAAACGCGATGTATTATATCGATATCGCGGTGCTAGGTAATGCTACGAGGGATAGACTGTTTCTGCTCTGTGCTTTAAGCTTCTGTGTACTGCAAAGAAGCTAAAGTAGGTTCTGACCCTTAGTTATTTTAGGTTCGCATTATATGAATGGTAAGTATTAAAAACTAGACACTTAACTTTCAGCAAGTACCTTGCTTTAGAAAGCAGCGCGGTACGCGACTCTAAAAAAATGGGTCCCAAATGTCTTCATTTAAAACTGGTGATCAGTTCTTTCCTAGATGACAAATGAAATGTGAGCAGAATCGGACCCTTGTTTGACTTCATTATTAAATACATACCTATATCTTACATCATATTGATAATCGCCGCGGAGCACTTCGTTCCCGCGGTTTTAACTCGCACTCCCGGCATGCACTGGAGGACCTCGGTCCTCAGAGTGCGTGTCGGGTGACGTGTACAGGATTGTTTGGTTTTTACCGTTGGGTAGGTAGGGCCCTGCTCATTTCATCGAGCCATGAGGTTGGGTGAAATGAGTGGGTAGGAGACCCGGATAACCCCGCTTTGCTTCTCCCGGAAAAAGAAAATATCATAATAATAATACCTATATATGAAAATATGGAGGTGAATCGCAAACACGAGCGCCTGAAAGGTGAGATGGAGAGGCTATCGTCAGCGTTGCCCGCAGTAGCGGCGGCGGCGGAGCGCGCCAAGGATGCTCTGGAGCCTTCTTTGCGGCGAGGCAGTCGCCAGTCGCTCGACACTGTGGATTACGACAGACAGGTAGGCCGTGGTTTTAATACATTTTTGTTGTAACCAATAATATCCATAATTTGTGTTAAGGGTTTGAAAAACAAGTATATGGCTCACCTGATGGTAAGCGGGCACCATAGCCTATAGACGCTTGCGTTACAAAAATACCACTCGCGCCGTTGCCAACTCTGACCCAATCCTCTACCCCGTGGAGCTTTGGAGCCTTACTGTGGTCTTCTGTAAGGTGAAGGTTATTTCCCCAGATGGGCGCTCCGCTAAAATTACATCCGCTATGCCTTACCTCTCGTTATATTCGACGCACTAAATCATAATAAATAAATACCTTCTGAAGGTGTAAGTCACACTGATCATTCGTATTTATACGGATAGTACCTATATTCCCATCATTATGTCGTTGGTCCCATTCGAATACTTACCTATTTACCCAAAAAAAAGATAAGTTCTCAAATCGAAGTTTTCTAATCAATCACTTGATTACTTAAAAGAAAATTCGTACTTAGTAGGTTTAGGTATTGAGTTGTAGGAACTTATCTGCGTTAATAATAAAGAAGTATTGGCAGCAGTGGTGTTAGCTAGGCTTGGGCCAAGCGGGTTCTCGCCTATGGGCTCTTACCCTTTTTTAATTTAATCCAAGACTGACACTCACACTTAAAAACACGATACGGATGAACCCGATGAACTTGCGAGGTTCTCCTCGCAAGATTGCAGATTGTATTTGAACCTCTATTCAAATACAATCTGACATGAACCCATTGTACCCATTCCTTTCAATCAGTTAAGTAAGGGAATACACACAAATGCAAGCGACGGAATGGTGGACCTCGACACCAGCATGTAGGCAATCCAAGGCAGAGCTGCCAGATCAAAAATCCGATTGAGCGCTAAAATGATATAAAAAGCGAGAGATTTCAAGAAAAAAAAGCGCTAGATTATGGCGCTAAATTAATTTCAATTTTTTTATTAAATAAAAAACAGTCAAGAAAAACGAGAACGTCAAAATAAATGAATTTAATCTGAATTCAAAAAATAATCTTCCATAGCTTAAATAGGGCCAACTTCATTCAGGCCATTCATGTATTTTTTTTGTCTTACAATATTTTTCATATGTCCCAATCCTAATCTGTCGCGGAATGTCTTACTACATCATTTATTTTTAACTTCCACCAAAATTTAAACATGAATGAATGAAAACAAACCATGAACCATGCGGCGCATCAGATATATCGGTTTCATACATTTAGAAGTACGGTTAGAATTAGAACGGTTTCGGCACATCGCGACACACAAGTATAGTTCTAACTGACGCGACGCGACACAACACAAGACGACAGATAAGTGTAGTTCTGCCATAAAAAAATAATAGAGGGTCTTCCCGAGGCCATAAATTATCGGTAATAAAGTGTTACAATGGCTTAAATGAAAAAGCGCCAGATTATCCGATAGGCGCAAAAATTTTGAAATAGGCGCTACCATACCATACCAGGAAAGCGCCTAGACCTAGTGCCCAAAGCACTAAAATGGCAGCACTGATCCAAGGAGGCTAGAGGCTACCCTAAACTATATCCTCTAACATAGAACACTATACGACGTCGCGTCGTGCTACGACGAGCAATGTACGAAATTCACGACACGACATCGTATGCAACGTGCGACCCACCCCGCACGGCACGATGACGTCGTCGGTACCGTAGGTCGATATGGTGCCACAATTGACGTCGAAAAATCGACCGCATTAAAACGTGTTCTCATTCAGCCTACTGATATTAAGAAAAAATATAAAGAAGAAACAGAGACACAGAAGCCAGATGCCGCACGAACGAGCAAGCACGAACTTTGACAGATCCAGAAGGAGCCAGTTTGTTCTTACGTCCAGTAGAGGCGCTGCTTATGAGCCCTATTACAAAATTGCAAAGCTACCGTACTGATCGGCGCGTAGGTAGATTTGCACTAGTATATATTGCATTTTACGGGTGATATTTTGAGTCTTATAAAATAATTATTAATGAACTAATCATAAAAATATATACATATTTCAGTAGTTCAATGATGGTAGATTAGTTTTATGAAAGTTTTTGATAGTAATTCTATTTAATTCAATATCAAAATACGAGGTAAACCTTCATTATTTTTTTGGGAAAGCTCACGGAGGTAAGATGTTTTTTTTGGGCAATAAATGAGATGAAAAATCAAAATTCTAATACATTATGTTACAACAAAAACATATTTCTGATGTAGTAGTAATTCATTTGATCTAATTTATTGAACATTATTAAGAGATTCAGGCGTTTGAAGTTGTGCATATTATCGTTTTTTCCGTAAACTAGCTGCGGTAGAACGATCAGTACAAAAAAAGGAACATAGTATTTGTAAATATTCTACATTAACTTACAATAGGAAAAATAAATCTACCGTGTACTTCTATTGGAAATAGTCAAAATCTTTTCTAAGAGGGTAAGCGAGGCCCTCAAAAATTACGATTTATTGCAAAAAATGTGAAAGGGCTCTTAACTTTTATAAAAGCTGAAGATGCGATACGATTACGGAGCTTACAAGTTCGTGCTTGGGTCTCTGGATACATCCATTTCTTTTAGGTACTTATGAACAACGGGAGTTTCTATGATAGACCTCGTGCATCGTGGCACGTTGCGATATCGTGTCGTGAAAATTTAAGTCGAAGATTGCCACATCGTATTACGATGTGACGTCGTATCGTGTTTTTGCGTCTAAACCCTTAGACTTACTTGTACAAAACTTAATTTGCAAGATGGATCTATGAATCTTAACAACAAGTGTTGACAAAAGTCAAGTCAACTTCTTCATTTACGTCTTTAGGTATGTAGACTCAGTGGCGGACTAAGCCCGTCAGAGGCCCGGGGCGGCTAAGCTGAATGAGGCCCCCAGCTTTAAAAAAATGTAGATTCTTATGTTTATTTCACCATAACTTTATATCAGATTGTCAACTGCTACAGCCAGAGCGTCATCTGAAGCTTCTAGCATAAACTTTGTTTCAATAATTTGGAAAATATTTTTGATTTGTTTAATAGCCCAATTCGAAAATTCTTGTATAAAGCGGTCTATGCATTCATACATTGACCGACGTATTTCTTCTTGAATTGATAATCCAGCATCACGAGCTGATTCACCCGGCATCGTTCTTTTTACCTTCACTTTTACTGGTTTCTTGATGTTGATGAACCACCTAAATACTTATTTAAGGCGTTTAGTTTGGTGATTCCTGTATCTAGAGTCATTTTTGGAGACCGCAAAATTTGTTAGACTTAAATAGAATGTAGTGAATGTAAATGTATACGTTCAAGAGTAAATTATTTGCACTTCATTCATTCAGGGATTCCTGAGGAAGTACCCGCTACAAGGACGGGAATTGCCCCAGCGTATTGGACGCGTTCAGCAAAGTTAAATAAATATTAGTACCGCGTAAAAAGTCTAGATTACTGTAGTGTTTTGATCTTTATGAAATTATGTATAATTATGCTTAGTACCTAAGCACACTTTTAAAGTCTTGTTTAGGATTTGATCTGGGGAACGCAGAGACATTTGGGGGACCCCGAGATCGGAGGCCCGGGGCGGGCCGCCCCTTCCGCTCCCCTGTTAGTCCGCCACTGTGTAGACTTCTAAGCATTTACATGAAACATACGAAGTTATTAATAATAATAAGTCAAATAACATGTTCAAGATGGCCGATTATGCCCTGGAGAGTGCCGGTGGTCGTATACTGGATACGCGTGACACCATGGAGCATGTGATCTACGAGTCTCCGGTCAGCTGGGCACTGCATGCGCTAACGTCGTACGTATGCCGCGAGTGCCTTAGCGCTCGTGCTATGATTCGCCCCGGAACATTGCCTGGGGAATGCTGGGCTTTTAAAGTACGTTCACATATAATATGGGTATATATTGTAGGTGATATGCGGTTTTCTTTAAGTTATAAGAGTAGCAAACAACCATTCCATGGCCCGCCTGATTGCAAGCGGCCACAGTAGGCGCGCACTAGGAGAGGCGCGGCAAAGATACTAAGTTAACAATTTAAGTTAAACCCTTATTCCTATAAGTTTCAATTTTTTACGGCAATCATGGAAAAGAGCAAGCGGCGCACAGCGCTGTGAAGCTGCCAAGGGAGCCGGCCCTAGGCCGTGCCACAGATTACCTAATAGTTACTACGTAAGCCGCGCTCAAAGTCGCCGCGTGCCGCCCCGTGTCTCTTGGCCGCCCCCGGAGTCGTTGCGTGTAGTATCTTCGCCGCGCCTCTTCGGTTATGCGCTGCGCCTTAGATCATAGAAGCTTGCGATACCGATGCACTGCCACCATCATTACTTCATTGTGGCATAACGATGCCTGATATTAAAATCAGGCAGCGTGATGTTTGCGCTGATTTGCAGTTACTCGTCGTCCGGAAAGCTAGTGGACCTGACGGCATCCCAGCAGTTATACTTAAAAAATGTGGGCAGAGTTGTCTCCCGTGCTCTCACGCTTGTGTATCAAAGCTCGTATTTTTTGGGGGCGTGTGCCGGAGACATGGAGAAATGCCAACGTGCAACCGGTGTCCAAAAAAAGGGGATCGCTCAGACCCGGCAAACTACCGGCCAATAGCAGTGACCTCAGTGACAGTCCTTACCAACCAGCTGACCCGCTACCGAGAGGATCACTCTCTCATTAATGATCGTCAGTATGGTTTTTAGACCAAAACGATCGACGGGTGATCTTCTGGCGTACTTGACTCATATCTGGGGGTGAGGCTATCGACAAGCGTGGCGAGTAGTTGGCTATCAGCCTTGACATTGCCAAGGCGTTCGACAGGGTCTGGCACAAAAGCCTTCTCTGCAAGATTCCGCCCAGTTCTGTTCCTGGGTAGCTGACTTCCTGCGTAAGCGTAGTATTCGTGTCCTTACGGACGGTAGTAGTTCGCGGTTCACGTCAGTGAGTGCCGGCGTTCCTCAGGGCTCCGTCCTATCCCCCACTCTCTTTCTGCTGTGTATTAATGACTTAATTTCTCTTGGGAATATTCATTGCTATGCAGACGATGGTACAGTGCAAGCGGGGTGTCTCGGACAAGCAGCGGCTGGGCAGGCGGTAACCAAGGAGAAACGGGAGAATCTTGTCATTAAACTCAATCAGGCTTTGGACCACATTTCTAAATGGGGTACCAAGAGATTGGTTGATTTCAATGCTAAGAAAACCCAGGTCTACGCTTTCACGGCAAAAACGTCGCCATTCCTCTCATGTCCTTCTTTTCAGGGCACAGCACGAGCTAGAGAACAGTATCACCATGCTCGGGATGGAAATTCGCTGTCACTTTAATCCAAAGAATTACATCGAAAGCGTAATAAAAACGGCCTCACGTAAACTCGGAGTCCTGATCAAGGTGCGGCGTATTTTCACGCCTGAGCAACTGTGCTTGTTGTATAAGACTTAGGTGCGGTCTTGTGTGGAATATTGCTCGCACCTCTGGGATGGCTCTGGCAAGCACTTGATCGATGCTTTGGATAAGTTACAGTTTCTGAGGACCACGCGCGCTGGCTTACGTTGTCACCGTCTAACTGTGGCCACAATTCCAACGTGGTGACTCATTTCTTTGTCACACTATCCGTAAATGGAATTCTCTGCCTGTTCACCTTATTACAACCTGGGATCCTTTAAAGCGTTACGTCTGGACTTCACCGTCACTTAACATTAGGTAGGGTGGAGTCATTTGTCGGAACTATTTATAAAAAAAATACTACCACGACCGCATCACCTTATCCCCTGGAGCCCGGTAACCTTACTCACCGACAGAAATACATCTCCACCAAAGATATAAAGGTTTTCCTTCATTAACCACGTGCATGAATCCGCGTTTTTACAGTACAGCACATGCTTACTATGATGAAATCTGTTTCAATGAAGATGATTATGGCAAAAATTAAAGGTTGAGGTGACAGCTGATGAAGAGATAAGACCACTCCTTTACCTTACGCATCGATGGCATGGAATGGATGAAATAGCGATACTTTATAATTTGTGTATTTTTCTTCTGGTTAGGAGTTTGAAGAGTTGCGCGGACAGTCGGCAACGGTTGCCGCGACCACACCCGCACTCCCGGCGTGCATTGGGGGGACTGCGGTCCTCAGAATGTATGCCGGGTGACCGGTGCAGGAGTATTGTCTGGTTTTTAGTGGCCCTGTTCAGGGCGTTAGGTAGGGCCTTGCTCATTTCACCCGGCCTAAGGGCTGGCTGAAATGAGCAGGGAGGAGTCCCACATACCTTCCTCTCGCTCCCCCGGTGGTTGAAGGATGCGTAAAGCATTTCCCCAGACAAAAAAAAAGGAGTTTGAAGAGTGCTGCTAACGAATATTGATTAGTTTTTTAGATTTTCATATCTATGTAGAGATTTCAAACAAATCAAATGCAGGTGTTACTATTTTTTTTTACATAAGCCTAATGTAGAGTCTGATTAACATATAAAGACTTATATAACACTAGCTGACCCAGCGAACTTCGTACCGCCCTAAAAAAATAGGGGTTGTCCAGCGGACAAAATTGTGAATCTAAACCATTCTCAGATCCCCTTGAACACACACAAAAAATTTCATCAAAATCGGTCCAGTCGTTTAAGAGAAGTTCAGTGACATACACACTCACAGAAGAATTATATATATAAAGATAATGCTGGAATATCCATTGAATTATGAAGTAATTTGAAGGGATCTCGCGGCGAAGCCACATTGCGTCTACTGGGCACCGTGCACATAACGGGCTTCAGCGTGGAGCACATACCGGCACACATATCTCCGACCAGGCAAGCAGTTAATACATAAATGAGAACCCGATAAAAATATTAATTAAATTATAAACTAAGTATCTCTCCAACATAATCATCTGTTTTCCATTACACAGAAGAGTATATCCTTCGTGTTACACTTACAGATGACTGTTGTTAAATGATGTTATTTGTGTCAGAATGTAGCTTACTATTTTTGACGTGACAACGTCTTAAATTAGGTTGCGGCTGGGAGTCACTTATGAAAAAGTGTAACGCTCGGTAACGTTACGATGAGTCTCTCGTGTTAAGTTTAAGTTTACATGTACAATGTTTTAGTAAACAAAATATATTTCTATAGTTAAAATTTGTGCAATTCTTATTTTCATTCAATTCCTTGTTCCTATTGTGCAATTTAATTATATTCATATCAATAAATATTCTACCGAGAAAAAGACGTTGTCACGTAAAATCTTCGCCCGTAAAACCGACTTTACAGGCAACCATTTTTGATGTGACAACGTCTTAAATTAGGTTGCGGCTGGGAGTCACTTATGAAAAAGTGTAACGCTCGGTAACGTTACGATGAGTCTCTCGTGTTAAGTTTAAGTTTACATGTACAATGTTTTAGTAAACAAAATATATTTCTATAGTTAAAATTTGTGCAATTCTTATTTTCATTCAATTCCTTGTTCCTATTGTGCAATTTAATTATATTCATATCAATAAATATTCTACCGAGAAAAAGACGTTGTCACGTAAAATCTTCGCCCGTAAAACCGACTTTACAGGCAACCATTTTTTTTTTTGATAAACGACTGTCTAGAGAAGATAGCAGAGAAACCAACCGCTCCAACCATCTTCACCTTGCCAGACTTGAACTTCAACTTCTCTATCCTCTGGAAATCTGGCAGTCTAAACAATGCTTGAACATATTTATGTTTGGGGTCTGTCTTAAAAAATGTGACGATCTCGAATTTACCGTAGGTAGCCGTTTTTACTGTATCTGCTCAAGAAAGTCAATAGCTAGTTTTTCTCCAGTTTTGACAGTTCAATATGGGAGATACTGTATTTGATTATAATTATTGGAGGAAATTATTAAAAGAAGTTTATTATTATCTAAAGAAAAGTTGAATACTTTTTTCAAGTATTAAACATTTGAAAGAAGAAATAGCAATTATAGTTATGTTTTTATTTTTTAAGCATTTAACTGCTAGGTGTTTAAATCTAAAGAAAAGAAAGAAGTAGAGAAATATCTTCAGCACCGCGTATAAGATACAATTCGAGAGCTTGAAGTTTCGTTCCGATCCTTACCCTCGTGACTTCGGTAGTTATGAATATGACAAAGAAAAAAAACATAACTCTATTATTAATTAATTAACGATCAAAAATGCTTGAGCTCCATTTCGATTCACCTTTAAATTTATTGTTCTTCCTCACGTTATTTGACCTGTGCTTCAACGCAAGCAACTTCTGTTTTATTCTACGAATTCCACTTATTTTACTGTTCTGTTTTGCAGAGAAATATCTTCAGCACCGCGTTTAATACAATTCGAGGGCTTGGAGTTTCGTTCCGATCCTTACCCTCATGACTTCGGTAGTTATGAATATGATAAAGAGGGGAAGCCAATCCAGTACTTCGAGGTACGGCATCCGACTACTAAAGGGTAAGTGTTTAATTCTTTGTTTTTTTTGCTAACTTCTGATTTAGTCCCGTGACATGGTCTTTGCGGGTTCCTCTCAGACTAATACCAATTGCAAATGCTTTTATTGCTTCAGTATAAGTTTTTGATTTTCAGGGAGAAAGAGAAAGCGATTTCACCTTAGCGCTTATATACGCACTGGTGGTTTACCGCGCTACAAGTCACTTTTTTAGGGTTCCATAGTCTTGACAAGGATCCCTTACAGTTTCGTCATGTCTGTCTGTCCGTCCCCGGTTCTGCTTGGAAACTTTTAGCATTAGAGAGCTATAACTTTGTGGGAATATGTATATCGATCACGCAAACAAAATGGTAGAATAAAATTTTGAAAAAATTTTTTTTGGGGTAGCTCCCCTAGATGTTTTTAGATTTAACCTGGGGTTGGTTTTTTTTCATCATCTACCCCATTGTGCGGTATATCTTTAAAGTTACTTAAATTATCTTTAAAGTTAAAAGTTAGTAATGGGTTTCTAGGACTCCTTTTCGATTGGGGGGTTAATTTGCGAAATATTGAACTTTAAAGTGCTAATTTTTGTTCAATAGGGCGTCCCTACCCCCCTCCAAAAGCTAAAGTATTGACTTGAAAAACCTGGAAAAGATCAAGATATTCATAAACTCTTAAGTAATACTCTAACGGTTAAGATAGATTCGTTAGATTAACAGTAATAGGCGTTCAACTATGATTAAAGAAAATTTCTTTTACCTATTGAAAATTCCTTAGAAAACATTAATAGTGACATAGATGAAGTTATTGCAGCGTAAAATCTTGCATTGCAACAAAATCTATAAAAAAAAACTATTTAAAAACCGCAATAAAATATCGTTAGTTCCACAACGCTACCGCGAGTACCAACGGCAACGGTTTTTTATGTCGCGCTAACGTTACGTTTTTATAAAAAGTATATGAATACTTGAAAAGATCGGCGGTTATACCCGTATCATCCGGTGTGTTTTAGTCAGTAAGAGTCTGATACCTTTGCAGCCGGCTGTAGGATTTCACAACCGCTCCCACCTGGGAGGAAAGAAAAAAAAACTGCGGTTATCATTCATCATATCATTAGTATTTAAAAAAAACAATAATATCGAATTAATTTTCAGTTTATGACGCATTTTGACTTTGATTTATTTTAGTTACCACGGGGTAGGAAATTGAGTCAATGTAATGAGGATTTTTAACATATATTTTTTTTCAATTATTTAAATCGAAGCAAGATTTTTGACTAATTAGGTATTTAGATATCGATATTAATAATTCTTAGATGCACCACGAGCGCTCGAAATGTGTCCGGATCAAATAGTGCTTATCACCTCGTAAGACTAGGTCTACAGTCGCGCGGTTTTTTTGATGGTCACCAAATCAATGTTTGTTAATATAAAGCATTTGTAGGTAATTTCATTTTAAAACTTGCTTTAAACATTTTTTTAATAAATATGTGCATCGTTGGCTGCGCTGCACATTCGTTTCTTGCCCCTCCATTCCGTGCGGGCAATATTTTTACCTATTAACCTTCTGGTGCTTCGGATAACAGCACTTTCAGAATAAGGATCAATGATCATAAACTAGAAGGACATTTAAAGCCAAATTAAAATATGTTAAGAAAAATCAAGAACAAATGAAACTTGATATGTTGGCGAAATACCACAAAAAAAGGATTTTGGTAAATTTACGAAGGCCACTAACAAATTGTGTGATAAGTACTGTTATTTAATCTGTGCCTCAGTCACAGCTATTTGCCAGAGGACCTCATACAAACAATTGTAGTATCAGTAGTTAAAGATAGACCAGTAGTAGAAGACGGGGGATGCCTCTGATGTAGCCAAATTCAGACCCATCTCCATGGCTACAATGGTGGCTAAGGTTCTCGACAGTCTGCTTGATAAACAGCTAGCAAATCACATGGAACTGCATGATGTCCAGTTTGGCTTCAGACCTGAACTATCTAAGGAAAGTGCTATCATGTGCCTCAAACAGGCTGTTTAGTATTACACGAAGAGAAACTCCAATATTTGCCTGTTTTCTGGACCTATGAAAGGCGGTTGATATGGTGTCTTATGCGGTCCTTTGGCAGAAGCTAAATAAGGAGATAATACTGCCACCTGAAGTGACGTCCTTGTACCACTACTGGTATTGTAATCAGAAAAATAGAGTGAGATGGGCAGGAATTCTATCCGACGTGTATGTGATGGAATGCGGGGTGAGGCAGGGGGGGTTAAGCTCGCCTCTCCTTTTCAACCTATACATGAATCGTCTAATCGGTGAGCTCAGCAGTACACATACAGGTTGTTATATTGATGGAGTTTGCTTGAACAATATAAACTATGCAGACGATGTGGTGCTGCTGAGCCCATCAATTGTTGGTCTAAGAAGATTTGTTGCTATCTGTGAGTCCTATGCGGTGGCTCATGGGCTCCAATAAAATGTGAAAAAAAGTGAGCTCATGATATTTAAATCGAACTCCATTAATTACTCGGATGTTCCTGGAGTGTCACTTTGTGGTAGTTATTTAAGCTGGGTGAACAAGTTTAAGTACTTGGGTCATTGGGTCACTGAGGATCTCAAGGACAACATCGACATAGAGAGAGAGCGTAGGTCGCTGGCTGTGCGATGTAATATGCTGGCCCGAAGATTTGCACGGTGTACATATGCAGTAAAGGTCACTCTTTTTAAGACTTACTGCCAATCATTCTTTTCTTCATATTAAGACCAACTATACGCAGCGGGCATACAGCGACTTGCGTATCCAATATAACAACGACTTCAGGATACTGTTAAGACTGGCGTGGAGTTGCAGCGCGTCAAAAATGTTTGCGGAGGCGCATACGGACGACTTTTATGCCATTATAAGAAAGAGGTCCGCTTCCATGCTCACTAGGCTCCGCTCTAGTACCAACAGCCTCATGAGAGTATTTAATGACCGGTGGGATACTCTTTGCTACGACACTGGGTGAAGCTCCATATCCTATAATAATATTTTATGTAATTCTCTATTATACTAACATATTTATAAGTAAATAAAATGTAACTAACACTATGGAACCTAGTTCTGAAATAAATGATTTGAATTGAATTGAATAAAATTAAAGTTTGCATCGGAGTCGTTAAAATTTTGAATTTCAATATTTCCATTAAACTTATGACCTTATATTCAATTTCTCAGCAACCTAACACTTTTCCGGGATAAAAAAAGTATCCCGTGTCGCAAATTCAGGTAGTAAACCATATGTGTGCCTTCAACTAAATCCGTTCTGCCTTTTTTTGGTGATTACTCAATCACGAAAAATCGGTTTGTTGTTTGTTACTCAACAAACATACAGTTGTTAACATTTATAATTATTATTGTAAATTGTAGGATATTAATCGTGACTTTCAATGTTTAATTAAATATTGTCCGATTGATATTGTTTAGGTTACTCGATCATCCCATAGAGTTCCGTGGATCATCCAATGTACTCGTACTTTAAGACAGGTTTCTGTCACGATTATGTTGTTGTTGTATCTAGGTTTTAAATATCATTGCATTTAGACCTCGATTTTTTCAGGGTAGATCGTTTGAAACATCCGTATAAATTTATGAAAAATCGAGATACTATTTCAAAAACACTGAATCCAGAATCCGTAGTTTTAAGTAATGGCAACGCAACGACAGCATACAAAAGCAGCTTTCATGTCGCTGCGACGTGTAGTCTCTTTTGTACTCCCGTTAAATAACTTTAAGGTGAACGAGACGGCAACATATCAACTTAGATTTTCTTTTCGCGGTGAACAAAGTTGATAGAAAAGTAAAACATTGAGCTGGGATGGCAGGACTGATGCCAATCCCCACGCAAAATAGGCACCAGATGTCAAGTTGCGGAAACAGCCCGCCGTTCTACTAAGACTAAGACTAAGTAAAACATTTACAAAATAATTCTGAGAAATTTATAAAAAACCTATTTTAGCAAAAAAAGTACCTATGTTCAAAATACTAAGATATTGGAAAAAAGTATTTGAAATACAAGATGAAGATACGTATTTTGTATCTTTCATCTGTATCTTAGATAAGTTACATCTCTGTCTACTTACTGATGCGTAATTTTAAAATGACATTTCTCTTAACAGGATCATGGAAGGTAAAATGTTGCATTCTCGTTGCAGGTATAATCTAGTGGTGGTACGCGTTGTTACGAACTGGGGTCACCCCGTGTATACATGCGTGTACCGAGTGCGTGTACACGGGGAACTGGTGGCAGGGCAGGCGCCGCGCGAGGTCTCCGACGATACAGAGCTCAGGATCGAGAACGAATGACACCTACTTGCAAAGTTTTTTAAAACAATAATGTAAGGCGTGTCAGATAATTTGATTAGTGTCTTTTCATACGTCGTGTCGTGGCGTGGTTAATAGCGAGTACATTATAGTGGCAGTTTATGAACCAATTTGTTTGTTTTCACTATATAAAGCGTGGGTCACATCGGGAGTCGAAAATTAGTTCACAATAATTAAAAGGTCCACGATGATTTTTAAATCTTGCTTAAGAGCCCTTTCACATTTTTTGCAAAAAAATCGTAATTTTTGAGCGCCTTGTTTACCCCCTTAGAAAAGATTTTGAAAATTTCCAATAGAAGTAAACAGTAGATTTATACTTTCTATTGAAACGGAAAAAACGATAATATGCACAACTTTTGAACATCAACGCCTCAATCTCTCAATAATATTCAATAAATTAGATCAAATTAATAAGTACGACATCAGAAATATGTTTTAGTTATAACATAATGTATTAGAATTTTGATTTTTTATCTCATTAATTACCAAAAAAACATCTGACCTCCGTGAGTTTTCCCAAAAAATAATGCAGGTTTACCTCGTATTTTTATATTAAATTAAATAGAATTACTATCAAAAACTTTCATAAAACTAATCTACCATCATTGAACTACTGAAATATGTATATCTCTTATCTAATAGACAAGTCCGTCCGTCTGTCCGTGGTGCTGTTTCAGCGGCCAAACCGTAAGAGATAGATATAGAGAATGTTTAAGTTATAAGTTAAGAATAGTCTGATAAGACTACAAACCGGATGTGAGTAACGTAGCACTTCCGGTTTTCGAGAAATCACGTGATTTCTATTTCAAACGAAACCACACAAAATCTCCGAAGTTCTCAATTAATTAAATACTTTTTTTTTTGGTGAACATTTGGTTCACTGGTTTGCTAGTATTTTTATAATTAGTTCATTATTAATTATTTTATAAGACTGGAAACATCACCCATAAAATGCAATATAGTGTAAATCTACCTACGCGCCGATCAGTACGGCAGCGGCGCAATTTTTACCCGACTGCGCAATGCAAGAGCGCGAAGCGCGACGCGCAGACAGGGTATAGTGTTTGACAGTCTATATATGTGTTTGTTCCTTTGTGGCACACTAGAGACCAAACGCGTGCACCGATTTTGGTGATTCATACGTCTATCGATTCGTCTTAATCATGGGAGTGCTACTAAAGATATGATAGTAATCAAAACTCAATATGGGGACAATTAGGCGCCATATCCTCGTAAGTCCCGACATTTCGGAATTACCACTCATTGTCGAGACCGAATGTTCCATTCTTGGAACAAATTAATTGACACCATTGAGTCCTGAACCTTTATGCCCTTGCATTAAGAATCATGATAGTTTTAGCATGATTTTGCTGTAACAAAGTTGTTTTGTGACTTCCTAAGGAATACGCAGAGCTCAGTTTCAATTTCCTACAATTTGTTCGTTTTTTTGGACATTCGGGTGCAGTTTAGTACTTATATGAGAAAAATGTAGTGTCACGAGCCAGGGCGTTTAAATGAAACCAACTCTTGGTGTGAACAACAAATTTATTTGGGCGTGGTTCGAAGTGCCCGGGTAAAAAAAAAACGTTACAGTATTTGAAAGTTCTTTGCTTTCCCGGCCAGGGTTGGTACTCTCCTGGTAGTTCCGCCGAAGAGAAGTCCGGGCCCAGAGAAGATGGAGATGGTCACGAAGCGGTGGTCGTACTGGTCGACAGTGAAGTCCCGAAAAGAAGTCGGAAGTCGTCGCCAGGCGATGGGGTGACCGTGACGGGATGGATTGCTGGTCGTTGTCACACGATGGTGTACGGTGGACGCCACACCATGGACCCTGTAATATGGTCGCATTAATAACCAAACTCCGTTGTCTCCTCTAATTGTGGCCATGGCAAGAACTGGAGTAGAAAAGTACCCGGAACGTATGTGTGTTTTGTTATAATTGCCACAATCAGATCGGAGTTACAATCGGAGAAATAAAACAATTAAATAAGCTAAAGCACAGCTTAGTAAGCTTAAAAAAACAATAGGAATATAACTTGCAAAAGCATTATAAATAAAGATAAAGACTCAAAACGACGGTTACTATTTTAAAAATTTAAGATTTTCCACTTTATAATCGGACGCTAATTGAAGGAATACTTGTTCAACACTTACCAATACGTGGGTTAATGCACTGAGTGTAATGATTAATTATCTTGAACAATTATTAAGAAAAAATAAAAAAAATATAAAGATCGCGCGTTGTCCGCAAGGTCGCTGGGAGCACAGAACGAGCGCGTGTCTGCTTGGAGTTCAATTTCGGAGTGTCAGATGGCCGGCCGCGCCGCAGCCAGCGCGCGGTGCAGGTCGGGGGGGGAGGAACTCAACAAACGAGTCGCCAAACTTGGAAGCGCGCGTGCAGCGAAATATCATTGCCCGATGTTAAATGAATTTTGTGTTTATAAACAATAGGTATTCAAAAAAACTGATTCGTGTAAATAATGTACAATTTAAGTTAATAATATTAAGCGTAATTTAATTTTTAGGTAGAATATTATAAGTTTTAATAAAATAAATATGTAACAACGTTACAATACCCCCGCGCGCAGTGAAGGATTTTATTGTTTATAGAGAAATAAAATCCGTTTTGGAAAATGTGAATGTAGTTGCTTAACCTAAACATAAATCATCTTTCATACTTCTATCATTCTTCTATCATCATTCTTCTAACTATTAAAACAAAGTAGGTACCATACAAAGGATGTTACCGACTCCTACAAGCAATCCTGAAGACATCTAGTTTAATGAACTAGAAACTTGGCAAATACTTATATCCAATAAGTTAGTTAAGTGCGCGACGCGAGATATAAAGCTACTGTTGTACATAATAAACCAAACAAAAATATATAAAAAGAAAAAAAAACTACTTATTGACACCAACCAACTTCAAGTCTTTAATGTGCCAGGTGCCTAGATCTTTTCCAGTCATATCCTGCAATACATATACCAATGGTGACTTTTTAATTACTATTTTAGCTTTAATAAACTTCGGAGCCAATTTCTTTGAAAAACAGTTATCTTTGTCGCTTAAAAAGTAAGCACGCTTCATGACTATGTCACCAACGTTGAACTCGGCAAATTTCCTTCTCAAATTATAATGAGAAGTATTCTTCACATGGGCTTGCCACAACCGTTTTTGCACTTTATCGAAAACACTAGATAGACGACCTAGATTTTCGGCATAAGCATCACGTGGTAAAATTGATAAATCATTACCGAGGTCATTGTCAACGTAATGTGAGCCACAAACGACTAGCTCCCTACCAAAAACTAAAAATGAGGGTGTATACCCTGTCGCTTCGTTTACGGAGTTATTTATAGCGAATTGGACTTCAGGAATAAACAAGTCCCAAGACCTATGATCGTCGTCTACATACATAGATATACAAGTAATTATTGTTCTATTATATCTTTCCACTAGGTTAACTTGTGGGGTATACTTAGGTGTATAATGCACGTTAGGTATATGATATTTATTACAGAGACTATCCATGAGCTTGCTTGTAAATTGGGTGCCGTTATCCATTAAAATGGTTTGTGGAACACCATGTACGAGAAACACAGATTCCTCAAGGATTTTTGTAATTACATCTGAAGTCGCTTTTTTAATAGGAAATATCAAGCAATATTTCGAAAAACAGCAAGTAACGACGAAAATATAACTATTACGAAGTTTTGTAGTGGGGAGAGGCCCCATAAGGTCTATGGAAATAGTTTGAAAAGGACGTGAACAACTTTTAGGACGACCCATTTCTCCTAATAGTTGATGATTTTGTGATTTATATGAAAGACACTTGTCACAAGAATCTATATATTTAACTACATCATTATACATGCCAGGCCAATAATAACGTAAGGCAAGACGTTTGTATGTTTTGAATATGCCCAAATGAGCAGCGGTAGGCTCACTATGGTTTTCTTTAATAATATTCTCACGGAATTCAGAACAAACTACTTCTTTCCATGAGAATTCAGAAGTTAACTCGTGTTTGTTTTTAGATAAACGGAATAATGTATCATTTTTAATAATAAAATTTGGAAAATTTGCAGGGTCATTTAAACAACCGAAATATAAATTTTTGTACCAAGCGTCTTTAGAGTCCAAATAAGAGTTAGCAGTTGAGATGGCGTTACATGGGATTCTGGAAAGGGCGTCAGGAATCACATTGTCGGAACCTCGACGATGTTTGATGACAAAGTTAAATGCCGACAAACGTACTCCCCAACGAGCTAACCGACCGGTCGGATTACTAAGAGAGAGAAACCATTTTAGCGCGCTATGGTCGGTATAAACTGTGAATGGCTGACCGTTTTCAATATAACAACGCCAATATTCAAGCGCAGTTAGAACGGCTAAGGCTTCGCGTTCAGTAATGCCGTAGTTTTTCTCAGATGCAGTAAACGACTTGCTCATGTACGCAATAGGATGTTCCTTGCCATCGATCGTTTGGGTAAGCATAGCGCCAATACCGTAACTACTAGCATCGGTGTGTACTTCGAATGGCTTAGTATAATCTGGACAGGACAAAACTGGGGCAGAGACTAAACACTCCTTCAGTTTTACAAACGCGGAGGCTGCTTCAGGTGTCCACTTGAAAGAAGCGGCGCCTTTCCTAGTTGAGGTCAATTTATTTAAGGGCCCAGCCACTGTACTGAAGTTTGGGACAAAACGCCTGTACCAAGTTGCGGTCCCTAAAAATCTTTTTAGTTCTTTCCGAGAAGTAGGTGTCGGGTAATTAAGAATAGCTTCAACTTTAGCCGGATCAGTACGCAAACCGTAATTGTCAACTACATAGCCTAAATACTTGAGTTGTGGCTTAAAAAAATCACATTTCTCGAGATTTATTGTAAGATTTGCTTGTTTTAACTTGTCTAATACACGTAAAAGTAAGGTCACGTGACTATTGAAGTCCTTGGAAACGCAAATAATGTCATCAAGATACGCAAAGACGTTGAGATCGAATTCGGCAAATAACATATCAACTAATCTCTGCTGTGTTGCTGGAGCGTTTGTAAGTCCAAAAGCGGTTCTTTTAAAACAAAATGTGCCTCTATTTGGGACATAAAA